GGCTGGTTCATCAGGTGCTCTGCTATGGCTGACTTCTCTGGTTGAAGTAGTCTGCAGTGCCTTTCATGTTCTATTTCCAACAGACCTCACTATCTCTGAGGATGCTTGCCATAGATGCAGGCGAAACGTCAGGAGAAATACCTCTAGAACATGGCCCGATAGCCCGAATAACCCTACAAGAACCTACAGCCTACTTTCTTAGAACTATTAATAATACATTCATGTCTTTTAAAATGGGCCAGGATAGTGGTGGAAGGAAGAGGATTAAACTTTTTGACACTTATTTAATCCTGGATTAAGCATCCTGCAGTGCTAATTTGTCTTTTAGAGGGTGCTGTGGTTTTTAATTCAGGGGGTGCTGTGGGTGGCATTGGGGGAATATTAGTTTTAAATGCCATTTTATTATATCTACTGTGTTTTAATTTTGTTTTTGTCACACTGGTACTATTTAATTGCTTTTTAACTTTTGTATTGCACCTTTAAACTTGCCTAGTGTGGAGTGTTAACTACCTTGAGACCCCACAGGGAAAAAAGCGGGGCATAAAGATAAGAAGAAGCAGTGCCCTTTCACTGTTGTATCTGATTAGGAAGCTAAAACTTTTGCTAAACTACTGCAAATCATCAAGGCCTTTATGGGTAGACCCCACTGTACCATATGCTTGATTCTACTCTAAGTAGGCTGGTGAGTGCATGAAGAACATAATCCAGTTTGGTGATGGGGAGGAAGGGTTCTATAGGATTTGACAATAGCCTAAATTTGAGGAAAGGGGAGGGAGAGAAAAGAAGAGCTAGGGCCCTTCCACACAGCCCTATACCCTAGAACAGGGGTCCTCAAACTTTTTAAACAGAGGGCCAGGTCACAGTCCCTCAAACTGTCGGAGGGCCGGATTATAATTTGAAAAAAAAAAATGAATGAATTCCGGTGCACACTGCACATATCTTATTTGTAGTGCAAAAGTCACTTTAAAACAATACAATTATTAAAATGAAGAACAATTTTAACAACTATAAATTTATTAGTATTTCAATGGGAAGTGTGGGTCTGCTTTTGACAGATGAGATAGGATTGTTGTTGTTATTGTGTGCTTTTGAGTCATTACAGACTTAGGTTGACCCTGAGCGAGGGCCGGGTAAATGACCTTGGAGGGCCGCATCAGGCCCCCGGGCCTTAGTTTGAGGACCTCTGCCCTAGAATATCAAGGCAGAAAATCCCACATTATCTGCGTGTGGACTCAGATAACCCAGTTCAAAGCAGATGTGGGATTTTCTGCCTTGATATTCTGGGATATAGGGCTGTGTGGAAAAGTCCTGAGATGTAAGTACGTGTATACCAGGGAGGTGGATAACATCAGTGTCCTCTAGAGCATCACAGTCCTCTAGAGCGGAGGTGCCAAATTCATTCTCATCAAGGACCACATCAGCTTTATGATGGCCTTCAAAGGACCATTGAATCCATGGATACAGAGATTTAACTATAATCTTTTTTACGTAGTGTCAGTGCTCTTAGGTTTTTACCCAATTTGAGTCTCCAGATGTTATTGAACAATAACTCCTATCACTTTTTATTATCTCTCATGTGGACTGGGAATAATAGGAATTGCAATTCTGAGGACATTTTAATGCTAGGTATCCTATCCACAAGCTTTATATCTAAATCCAAATCCCACTAACTAAACAGAACAAACTGCAGCCTTCTGGATGCTACTGTACCACAACTCCCATCAGCTGTAGTCATGATGTCTAATGGTGAGGAAAATTAGGCAAGAAGCTAGAATGAATCCGATGGGGGTTGAATGTTTGCAATGTCTGTGACAAAAATGTACTGGGCTCTTCTGTTTTGCTCATCTTGAGCACACAAAAAATACTCAGAAAAAGATGTTACAATGGGCCTCTCTAGCTCCTCCAGTACAATTCTGTGGTATGCTTCTGGGCCAAGTATAATAAAAATATAAGGTTCATTATTATCCACATTTTCAGGTATCTACAGGAGTTATGACTAACTTGTTTTCATTTTTATAACACTGCCTCGTGTTCTTTTGCCTGCCCATTTCTCAGATCCCCACTCCCTTTAAACGTGTTTAAAATGATGTTTTCTCTCTCTCTCCGCCCCCCCCCCCCCCCCCCCCCCCCAGGTCCCAGATTACAACTACAGAGCTGAAGTGAAAAAACTCATTCCTCATTTAAAATGTTTGGATGAAATACCAGCAGATCAAACAGATTTACCTTCCCCATGCAAGATGAATGAGGAATGGTTCTTTGTCAAGACATCAATCAAAGAAGGAAATTTACTTGATCAGGCTTCTGAGTCTGGTATGCTAATACATTTTGTAAAGTGCATTTTTACTAATGGTAAAAAAGTTAGTTTTCAATACCACATATGCATTGGTTAATAGTACATATTTGTGTGTCAGGTTTTGTTATCAGTTAGCTTATACTTGTTAACTGAGTAGAAATTAGGAGATTATGAGATAGCAGTCACCATCAAAGGTGAGGTCATTGCTATTGAGATATGCAGAGCTTATGCAGTCCTAGTGGAGCCTCTTGTTTTGCTTTTGCTGTGATTCCTTCCATACTGTCAACCACTTTATGAAAAAACAGGATTTAGGGCTATGTTGTAATGGCTTACACCAGTGGTTCTCAACCTGTTGGTCCCCAGGTGTTTTGGCTTACAACCCCCAGAAATCTCAGCCAATTTACCAGCTGTTAGGATTTCTGGAAGTTGAAGGCCAAAACATCTGGGGACGCATAGGTTGAGAACCACTGGCTTGCACCACCTGATTCGAATAATCTCTCTTTTCTTCCCCATGGCTTAGATTCAGAATCTATACCAAGTTGGCTCTGTTCTTCTGTGAAGCTTCCTGTAACACAGTTCCCCATAGCTTCCAGACCTCAGACTGGACAAAGACCTCCCACTGCCCGTTTACTTTTTGGTTGTAGCACTCTCCTAGAGCCGACTGTTTGTGAGGAAGGCCTGCCTGAAGATGATTCCAGTGATTTGACTCATGGTAATGGAACAACTTGTGCTTTTCTTATCCTTCTCCTCTCTTCCCAAGCTGTCTTTGAAAGAATGTGAGTAAACACAAAGTGATGTAGGAATTTTCTCACATAAATGTTCTTGAATGGCATATTCACCCATGATCCCTTCTTGCAGATGTACTGCATGCACATTTCTGTATTCCTAATTTTCTAGATATTTATCTATAAAAAAGAACATGTACAAGGAGTAAAAAGTATGGCTCAAATTGTATTATTGGTTAGATGATGCTGTCTTTCAAATGGTCAGTCTCCTGTGTTGTTTGTGGTTTGTGCTCATCTCTTGCTGGACAGAAAATCAAAGTGCTACATTATATTGATTCACATTGTAAAGGCAGGTTGAATGTCATAGTACCTTCAGCTGAGAGATGTGAGAGGTGCTTGGATACTTCATCTATCTGTACAATCTCTGCCTCAGATCACCACTGCATGTGTTTTGGGGGTAGTTCCTGACCCACTAGAAAAATTGTGTTTGTTTAAAGTTTTCTCCTTTCTACCAAAAGAGGTACACAGAACAACACAGGAATATCCATTACTTTATTTTCCTAAATGTATTCCTCCTTTTAAATATGGGAAACTTATCACAAGCGAACTAGACGTATTGGTATACAGAGTCTGCACAATGGTTAACTGGAGCAAACCCTTCTTTTTTTTTCTTTTTGGCCAGGTATCAACAGAGTCATATGTGGGAACCCCATCAAAGCTCTTCATGCACGAAGACAAAAGCTGGGAGTAAGCTTTCATTCCTGCATGCTTTTATTTTCTTCTTTGGCAAACCAGAGTGACACGAATTAGAATTGCATAGTTTTTATCTGTAGAGCACCATGGTCATTGTCATAAGAAATATATTCTGGAGATGTTCAAGTGTATGTGTGCAGATGCAGGGAGTTGTATAGATTTTGCCATTTCTTGGTGGGATATTAAGAGTATGAGGATAATGAGAACTGGCAGATGTCTATAAATGTGTGTGTGCATCTCATTGGAAACAGGACCCTGGGAAAAGTATTCAGATTAAAGCTGATTCTGTTTGCAGTAGCTGTAGCTCCCATTATTTTCAATGGAATGAATTCGAAGATTAAGAAAGGAGAGAGCATTCCAATTGTACATCCGGCATTGTGTTCATTGGGAGCAAGGGATTTTCTCCCCTACATATCCATGCATGTGCACCTCCTCTCTTGATGTCCCTGTCTCTAAATGCTTTCCTTTATGTCAGTGGTTCTCAACCTTGGTAATGCTGGGACCCCTTAATACAGTTCCTCATGTTGTGGTGACCCCCAACCATAAAATTATTTTCATTGTTACTTCATAGATGTAATTTTGCTACTGTTATGAATCGTAATGTAAATATCCGATATGCAGGATGTATTTTCATTCACTGGACCAAATTTGGCACAAATACCCAATATGCCCAAATTTGGATATTAGTGGGGTTGGGGGATTTTATCATTTGAGAGTTGTACTTGCTGGGATTTATAGTTCATCTACAATCAAAGAGCATTCTGATCTCCATCAATGATTGAACTGAACCAGTCTTGGCACACAGGACTCCCATGACCAACATAAAGCACTATCAGGGTTTGGTGGACATGGATCTTGAGTTTGGGAGTTGTAGTTCACCTACATCTGTGGACTCAAACAATGATGGATCAGGACCAAATTTGGCACAAATACTCAATATGCCCAAATGTGAACACTAGTGGGTTTGGGGAAAATAGACCTTGGCATTTGGGAGTTGTAGTTGCTGGGATTTATAGTTCACCTACAATCAAAGAGCATTCTGAACCCCACCAACATTAGAATTGGACCTAACTTTCCACACATAACCCAGATGACCAAGAGAAAATACTGTTTTTTCTGATGGTCTTTGGCGACCCCTCAGATACCCTCTCGTGACCCCCCCAGGGGTCCCGACCCCCAGGTTGAGAAATACTGCTTTATGTTATCATGTAGAAGTGAATCGTTCCATCCACTTTTATGGAAAAATACAACATTATACTTTGGAACACTTTTGGAAGAAAATTGTATGCCCTTATTATCTATCTACTTCTGACATCCTCTAACGGATGATTAGTGTGCATGTTCATGTGCATTAATGAATGCATTGCATCCTAGGTATACTAATTCTAGATTACCTGTACCCTAGAGATGTCTGGAAAAAGCAGTTGATTTTTCTTTCCACAGCCTCAAGATATTCAGATTCTTCTTCATTGCAATGATAGAAAACCATGTAATTTTCTGAAGAAAAGTTCAGAGCTTCCCCCAAATTAGCACTGTTTTCGAAAGAAGACAGAAAAGTAGGAAAACTCGATCACCACCGAAAAGAAAAAAGAGAGATTCCAAAACGAAAAATGCGAAGAAAAAAGAAAAAGAAAAAATCAAAAGTCTAAAAATTTGCGAAAAAATGCAAAAACAATTTTTTTAAAAAAGAAATAAACCACACCAACAAAAAAAACACAAACAGTCCTAAAATAACTTCCACTCCAGCCTCAGGATCTTCTTTAAGTACTTTTTTATCTAAATTTATGTATTCTTAGCCTCTATTATTCTTCTATTTTTTTCATAGTCATAAAAAAGTGTCCAATCCGTCCTTTTTACCGATTTTCCGGTGTTTTTCCTCATCAAAAAAGTTAATTCATCCATGTCTTTTATTTCTTTAACCTTATCTAACCACTCATCTATAATGGGAGTTTGTTCTTTTTTCCAATGTCTAGGAAAACTAATCCTAGCTGCTGTTGTAATGTATGTTAGTAATTTGTCTTCATTTTCTTCAAGTTGTAATTCCAGGTCTGTGAAGCCTAATAAGTAATATTCTGGCTTCTTTTTGAACCTCCTTGCATTATTATCTGCATTATTTCTTGGACATGGTGGGTTTCAGGAGGAACCACCCTATCAGGGGAAAAGAGTCTCATTTTCCCCAGAACCATATGAAAGCTGATGGTTGGTTGGAAGAGAGGTACACATGTAGGTGATGTTTCTCTATCAACTGTCTGAGTAAGGATCGGTAAAGGGAAAGACACTACTGGTTTACATCCATGAGACAAGCAATAGATGAGACTGAGAACTGAAGTCTTCTGGCTGTGCTTCAGTATGTCAGTTCACGCCCTGATCTCAACTCTCTGTAGCTTGGTAGTACAAAATGCTCTGGGCATAATAGGATCTCTTTTATAAATAAGAGAAGGATGTGAACTAAATTAATTTTTTTTAAAAAGATGTCAAGTTTTTAGTAAATGTCAGGTGCCTCTGACACAATTCCACTCCTGTTGTAGCCTACGGTAGCAGACCTGATCCAGCCACCACATCCTTTATCTGAACACAGCCAAAACTCTGAAGAGACGGATTGCATGAATGGGAAAGACCTCTCTGCTGACCTAGAAGCCTCAGGAAAGCATCCTTACCAGTAAGAGTCCAGTTTAATGATTAAATCAGTTAGTAGTTTCTCAAGTGAGCTTGTCAAGGTAAAACAGCTAGTGATTTTGATTTCACTGGATAGAACTAACATATAGTAACAAATTAGCTTCCACCCTCTCTCTTTCTAGAATATCTCTAAGAGACATTAGGGAGCAGGGGAGGATTTGTATGTTTCCCCAGGTTTTGGTGATGAGAGAGGGGCATGTTGGGATTGCATTCATCTCCATCCAAAGCATGCACTAATCTTAAAATGTGAGTGTAAAAGTTGTGGAAACTCCCATGCATCACCAGACCAACCTCAAAGAGCCACGTGCTTTGTGGAGTTTACTCTAACTTATTGTATAGATAAAATGCTGGTTCAGCTTTCTGCCTGTTTCCAGTGATATCAAGTAAGTATGTTATGCAATTACCTCTTGTGATCAAACCCCCCTCTAAGCCAGGTTACCTCACTTGTAGATGGCACAATTGATAACTTTATAGTTTGAAAAATAAAATTAGTGCAAACAAATAATTCTTGAAGGGCACATTGTTGTCACTTCAGCTCATATTAACTGCTTTCAGTCATCCTCACTTTTGCTGTACAGTAACATAGGGAACTTGGCTTCCAGCAGAGAAACACCACTCTGGAAGGAATGCTGTGTGTGAAGTTCCTCCTAAAAGGCATCAATATTTTTTCAGGGGTTTTATCCCCAGATCCTCACTTTAACATGAAAGTGCAATATGTGAATTTAGGAGCTTCAAGTGTGCATTGTCCTTGCATCATATCTGCATGATGGGATTTCAAACAGAGAGGTATAAATATTTATAGTCAAACCATCCACAACTTGAAAATATTCCAAAATGTTTACTTTGCCATTTTCATGCAAGGGATATCATTTTACTTTGCCATTGTATATAATGTGTCTTGATCTTCCATGGATTTTGGTATCCATGGGGATGATCCTGGTCCCAAACCCCAGCAGATACCAAGGGCCCACTGTGTATCTAAACTGCCTTTTCACTGTTGCTTCCAAAACAGTATGAATTATAAAATGAAAAATCTTAAAACCAGATGCTAAAGACAAGTACAGAGCTAAACAATATATTAGACCTAATTTCTCAAAGCAAAATAAAACAGAATAATTGATTCCTGTTAACTATAATGCCACGCGTGAGAGTGCCAAGTGAGCAACTCACAGAGGAGAGTCCCAAACGTAGTCCCAAAGCTTTTCATTGCACTCCCTGTATGTGTCCTTTATTTCCAAGAAAGACATGTTGGAAGCCATCTTAAAACGGAGATGTTAAACTTGTGGTCCTCCAAATGTTTGGGCCTCCAACTCCCAAGAGCGCTTGCCAGCTTGTCCAATGGCAAGGGATTCTGGGAGAAATCCAAAATATCCTCAAGTTTGACACTGCTGTCTTAAAGTGCTGTAACATTTAGATTCTGCTAGAATTGAGGCAGGATGAACATCTAATTAAACAACTTAAATCTCTGACAGACATCTGCAAGCTTTCCAAAGAGAGAAGTCACCACAAATACTAAAAATAACACACAGTGAAGAGGAGAAAGAGGAGGGAGAACAAGACTGCAACTTCAATGACAGCACTAAAGAAGATAAGAAAGAAACCATTAAGGACATCATGGAAATCACATCATCCAATTCCTCCTCTCAGTCCCTTTGTTCTCATTCGTCAACAGGTAGACTTAACAATGCTTGCCTGGATGATATGTGTGCCATTACCACCCACTTGCAAACTTTTACGTAACAGTGACAGAAGCTCATTTAAAATGCAACAACCACTTTGGGGAGCAAAGAGCTTTTCTTCCCAGAAACAGAAATAGTGTTTTTTTGAGAGAGCTGACAGGCATCTCATCATTCTAAAGTGACATTTGATATGACACTTACGACCGACATTAACGAAAAGAAAGCTAGGGAAATGAACCTCAGGAAACCCAGAGGACCTATTGCTACACTGTCAGTTGACCTGACCCTTTGGAACATAGCCACACAGATATCTTATGTAGTTCCAAATGCAGAGAAGCATTTGACTCAGTTGCTGCTAGAAATACAGCAAGGAGAAGCTATTAAACAGACATTTCTGAGGCAAAATCTCCTATAATACAATGGCAAATCCAGCTGTCCTTAGGGTCCATAAGACAATGCATAACAGACAGAAACAGATTTAATATATATATATATATAAATGCTCTGCGCATAATGAGTACCTTAAAAACAAAAGAACCGATGAACGAAATCACACCAAATTTGGCAACAAAACATCTCATAACACAAGGAGTGACCATCACTCAAAAAATTATGATTTGTCATTTGGGAGTTGTAGTTGCTGGGATTTATAATTCACCTACAATCAAAGAGCATTCTGAACTCCATCAACGATGGAACTGAACCAAACTTGGCACACAGAACTCCCATGACCCACAGAAAATATTGGTAGGGTTTGGTGGGCATTGACCTTGACTTTGGGAGTTGTAGTTCACCTACATCCAGAAAGTACTGTGGGCTCAAATAATGATGGATATGGACCAAACTTGGCATAAGCACTCGATACATCCAAATATGAACACAGCTGGAGTTTAGGGGAAATAGATCTTGACATTTGGGAGTTGTAGTCACTGGGATTCACAGTTCACCTACTATCAAAAAGCATTCTGACCCCTATGAACGACAGAATCGGGGCAAACTTCCCACACAGAACCCCTTAAAGAAGGACAATTATATGTTGCATGTTCCAGGGTGGGCAAACCAAACTCTCTCCACGTTAACACTGACAAAGAAACCACAAGAAATACTGTTTACCCACAAGCATAAAGAAATTACATATATTAGAAACAGATCAACAGACTGGGCCACAGCAATGTGTGGCAGGGGACAACTAGTAAAGTTATAAAATAAACTAAAACCGACTCTTAACTACCAGCATCAAAACCCTCACGCAACAGTTTTAAAACACAAAAGGTCATATGAGGGATATGGTCAATAACCTCAAATGAATATCCAGATTATATGATCACTTTGACCAGGGACCACTCTCCAACATTAGTACCAAAAGAGCTATGAATCAGTTTTGGTCAACTTCGGTTTGGTTATTTAGGGTGCTGCTTCAGAAAATTGCATTGGACAGACCACATCAGCTCTAGTTTCTGATACAGAACATATGCCATCCAGTAGTCACCATTTGCTTGACCACAGAAAACCGTAGTATTTAATAATCTAGAGCTGACGTGGTCTTTCCAATGCAATTTTCTGAATCAGCACTCCAAATAACCTCAGGGACAGATCTAAAAATGGAGACACCAAGGCACTGCTGCTTCCAGGCACCACATGGAACAGCTCCGCTCAGCGGGAGGGAGGGAGGAGGTGGAGAAGCAGCAGTCAGGAGGCTTGTTGTTGCACCTTTTGTGGGTAGTCAGCCTTTCCCCTCTCAACATCCCCATTGCCTTGGCGCTATAAGAGGATTTTGCAAGACCAATTGCTCTTGTTGCAGCAGCGTAGTAACGGTGAGGCCATTGACCATATTTTAGTTTTTGGGGACCACAGACCACAAGTTGGGAACCATTGGTTTAAAGTGATCTGGGAGTCAGACTTAAAAGTATCCTTATTAAACAGAATGTGGGCCAAAATATGGCTCCCAAACTATTTTGATTGGTTTCAGTTTATATTCTGGAAAACACATTCAGATGTATTAAAGACATGCTTTAGAAGGCTACTTCAGATTTTTAGAATTAAAGATGCAGTATGCAGCACTTGTTGGAAGGGCTGTAGTCCTAGGTGCACCTACTGGCATATGTAGTAGGATTGCCCAGTTCTCAGTTCCTTTTGCAGTTTGATTATTCAAGAACTTTCCTCTATATTGAAGATGCCAGTTGTGAAAAATATTTATTTATTTACATCACTTATATCCTGCCCTTCTCAACTCCAAAGGGGACTCTGGACAGCCTTACAAATAGTGATTGTCATGCTCTGCTTTTAAACTGGTGTGCTTTCTTTTTTTTAATTTCAGATTCATCTGATGTCCCAGAAAATGCAGTACCCACCATTGTAAAGCATACCCTCACACCCTCTCCTCCAAAATGTCCCTCCCCTGCATCTATACGGAGTATAAAAGGTGGACTTGTCGGAGCCAGACACCTGAAGGTACCCCACTCAAAAAAGGCAGCTCAGCTAAAGCCACAGTCTCCGTCACTTATGAACAGGAATGCAGTGCATCATGTAGTGGAGAAGATTGGTGTGCTGAATCTCCATAGAGGAACTGATACCTCCTGTAATGTTGTTAGACAGAGGTGTAGTAAGACTTGTGGCACTGGCAGCAATAGTCCCAGCTCAGGAGCAGTAGAAGTGGGAACAACAAACAACAGGTTTGTCTACTTAGTGTTTTGCCAGATTGCGAAACCATATAGAAACAAATCTTCATTGGAGAAAAGCTGGTTCATCACTATAACCAGGACTGAGTTAGGCATGATAAAATAGGCTTAAGCTTATCTAACTCTCTGTCAGCCTGTGGCCAAAATATATTGATCTTAAACTTACTTTAGTTGCCCTTTCATCTTGGGTGATGTTGCCCTTGTAAAACAGTTCTAAGAACCTTCACAGACAATTTGTATCTAAGATTAGCTGCTTTCCAGCACATTTCCATCACATCTCTCCCCTTCATATAGTACATATTGATTATCTGTTTGTCTGATTTTCAGATGGAAAAGAAATGTCCCCCAGAGTAGCTTGTATCAGTCAATATTTTAAAATAGTGCTGTGGTTGATGCAGGACAAGATCCAAGCCTAGCTCTCAGATTGGCCGTTTAAAAAGACAGAACCTGTAATCTTTTCCCTTTTAGAAGGGAAAGGGGGGAATGAAGACCAATTTGATATTGTCAGAATGAAGTGGTGAGCTGTAAGTCAGCTGTTAGATCCACTATAGGCCAGGTTGGTTTTCCCTTGTTGGGTTTACTACTTGGAGAGGAGTGCTGATATCCAGTGGCTCCGAGTCCTCTAGACTGAGGTGGAGAAAATACTGACCACTTACATCGGGGTTCCCAAAATAAGGCCCATAGGCCAGATGCAACCATCCAAGGTCACCGACCTGCCCCCTTCTCTGCCCTAAACCTTAGACTTAGGGTCTCCCTAAGTCTCAAACAACTCAAAGGCACACAACAACAACCGTCCTAATTATTTATTTATTTATTTATTTACTTTGCTTATATACCGCTGTATCTCAAGCCCGAAGGCGACTCACAGCGGTTCACAAACAGTAAAAACAGTAGAAACAGCAGTGGTTCCATACAACATATAACAATTGACTTAACACATTATCCATAAATTACCAATAAGCAATTACAATGCACAATTATTACAAAAAACAACCGTACCCAATCTTCTCATCATCCAAGCGTAGTCCAGGTTCGTCGTCCATTGTTCCATTCCTATGTTCCATTACCAGATTGCACTAAATTACTTAAACGCCTGCACAAACATCCAGGTCTTCACCTTTTTGCAGAATACCATTAGAGATGGTGCTAGTCTAATGTCCGTAGGAAGGGCGCTCCACAGCCGAGGAACCACCACTGAGAAGGCCCTATCTCTCGTCCCCGCCAGCTGAGCTTGAGAAGCAGGCGGGATCGAGAGCAGGGTCTCCCTGGAAGATCTCAAAGTCCTGGTGGGTTCATAGGCAGAGATGCGGTCAGATAGGTAGCTTGGGCCGGAACCGTTTAGGGCTTTAAAGGCCAACGCCAGCACTTTGAATTCAGCCCGGTAGCAGATCGGTAGCCAGTGGAGTTGGCGCAACAGGGGGGTTGTATGCTCCCTGCGCTCCGCTCCTGTTAAAATCATGGCTGCCGAGCGTTGGACTAGTTGGAGCTTCCGAGCTGTCTTCAAAGGCAACCCCACGTAGAGAGCGTTGCAGTAGTCTAAACGGGATGTAACCAGAGCGTGGACTACAGTGGCCAAGTCAGACTTCCCAAGGTACGGGCGCAGCTGGCGCACAAGCTTTAGCTGTGCAAATGCTCCCCTGGTCACCGCCGAAACCTGGGGTTCCAGGCTCAGCGATGAGTCCAGGGTCACACCCAAGCTGCGAACCTGCAGCTTGACTATCTCATCAGCCAAAAGCAGGCCCACACTTCCCATTGAAATATTGGTAAGTTTATGTTGGTTAAAATTGTTCTTCATTTTAAATATTGTGTTATTCTTTCATATATTTTTGCACTACAAATAAGTTATGTGCACTGTGCTTAGGAATTTGTTCATGTTTTTTTTCCAAATGATAGTCCACCCCCACCAACAGTCTGGGAGACTGTGAACTGGCCTTTGGCTTTAAAAGTCTGAGGACCCCTGACTTACAGCGTCAACTCCCTTTTTACAGCAATGCCTTTTTACAATTTTGAAAAATGAAAGAAGGTAGAAAAAAAAGTCACTCGTAAAGGTTAGGCTTTGATTCTTGGAAGTCTCTGGAATCACATAACAGATTACTTCATTTAGCTATCCCCCTAAAAATGTCAAGGCTACCAAAAACAATTAAATTGGAAATGACTTCTGGTAACTTGAAACAAATTTCTGGCATCAGAGGTCTTTTATGTTTTAGCCTGTATTGTGTGTGTGTGTGTGTGTGTTGAAACAGGGACTTATTTGTGGAGACCAGGGTTCTATTGAAAATTACAACATTGATTCTACAAGCCTATAGCTGTGCAATAACACATTCTCCATGTTAATGAGAGGGACAAATGTGTTGAAGGTGTTAGTTCTCTTGTGAATATACACTGCTAGTTTGGCCTCCCAAACATACAAATGCCTACTCACTATGGTGTTTCTTCTCTTTAGAGCTATTTTGGATGGTGACTTCAATGGCATGATAAATATGCATCAACCTGTTGTCCAGTCATGCCTAAGAAAACCAAGGCAATTTTCAGTACTGAATGTTGCCCGCCCTCTGACTACCACGGCTACCATGCAAAGCTTGCCAAAAAAGCCAGATATGTCAATGACAACTCAAAGCAATACTCCAAGTTTTTAGGAAATGCCCTGAGCAGCTGTGCAAATATTGTTGCCAAATCAGAAGCATTCAGTCTGTTTCTGTGCTTCCCATCCTCTGATCAGCAACACAAGCTGCCTTCTCTGATTCATCCTGATCACGGAATACAACTGTGCCTCAAGGCAAGCAGAACAATTTATTTACCTCCAACAAAAATTCTGCTGCAAAGAGAGAATCTACGTGTTTCTAATAAACCACTTTAGCAGACTTTGTAAGAAAAGGAGAGGAAGTTGGTGTGCCCAAAACCTTTGCAGGTGTCCGCCTACCTACCTGATGTTTAGAACAGCAGCATGACTGACTTTGGCCCTCTTGACTCAGCCATTGTGAGGAAAGTACAGACAATCGTTCAGCATCCAGTTGCAGCTATTTGCACGCCAGCACTCTGCCAAATGGATGTGGTCCCTTTAGTAAAATAACAGACAGACTAGGAAAGTAATGTCACTGAAATTGTCTGGGACTGGAATTAAGTGTGATTTCCATGTTCTTCAGTCAGGATTCCCATTCACAAAATGTATCCTTGACTCATGTACTAGCTTCAATTCCACATCAGTGTGGACACTACAGTCCATTATTCTGTATATCGTCATTTCCGGTATGGACGTGCTGAGCAGCTCAGAAGAGATATGTGACATTGATCCAGAATTACTATTATACAGTTATGTCTAAATTTTGGGGGACTGATGTAAACCTCTTGGCATTGTGTGCTTGATTTCCAATTATCTTCCATTTACTTTTTCCCCTCATACTTTTTCACAGCAAATGTCCTTATGAGCAAATATACTGTAATTTAATTTTTCTTGATCAGTTTCAGATTGATACTGAAAAATATATTGTGTACCAATATCTTTAAATGAAACATTTGTGGGGAGCTTACCTTATTTGGATGTCATATGAAGTAGAAGTCTGTACATTGGAGTAAACCTGATTTTCAGACTTTCTGCTGGTGGAACCTGTCACAAGTAGTGCTGGCCATATCTGTGACTTCCAGATCACATTGCATCTTTGTCTACACCAGTAGTTCTCAACCTATGGGTCCCCAGATGTTTTGGCCTTCAACTCTCAGAAATTCTAACAGCTGGTAAACTGGCTGGGATTTCTGGGAGTTGTAGGCCAAAACACCTGGGGACCCACAAGTTGAGAACCACTGGTCTACACAAATCCAAGGAAGCGATGGGGTCATCTGGGAGCAGAACAAAAGCTTTGTAAGAGCTGTCACTCAGGTATTTGTATGTGCGGACATGTAACATGAATATTTTGAAACCAAGTACTGCTACTTTTATAAAATAATATATTTTGGACTCCTGTTTAGAATTCATAAATTATGCAGTACCAAAGAATACAGCACAAAATCAAGTAATCAATAATAATTCAAAACATGTAGCTTGTACTTTATGTTGAAGATGAATAATTTAAAGAACATGAGATGCTCTTGGACCTTTCTAACCAAGAACATGCAGGGCATTTTTATTGTGAGAAGGAAAAGAGCAGTCTAGAGTAGAAGCATAGGTTATAGAGGATTCGTATCAAAATCATATAGAATGGTACTTTACAGGGACAGTGGGAAAATTGGTCTTAAACTAATCAAGCTAGTTTTCTTTCAATCTCTCAGTTTGTAATTAGGATTAAAATGCTACCTCTGTCTAAATGATGATATTGGGGGAAACTCAGCCTAATATGTTCACATAGCATCACTTGGTAAACTTGAGTGTGGCAGGTGTTGTGCGGATTGCATAAGTGATACTAAAAAGTGCACTCAGTGAAATAAATGAGATTTCACTTGGACATAATGTTCTATCAAATGAACATTCTCTACATCAGGACCCAGGTCTTTTTATTTAAATATGGAATGTGTTCCATTCACAGAGGAAGAGCTAGGCAATTTAATTTTAAGCACATAACAAACCAACCCAAAAAAGTATGAGAAAGTGTCCAAATGCCTCCCTTCCATTTAACCAACTTCACAATATGAAAGTGCAGTTCACAACCTACATGGAGCCCATGGAGCTCCATTTACAGCCTTCAAATCCCCAAATTTCTAATTTTTTTTTAAAAAATGTTCTGATTAGGTGACTCAAAATGGCCAAAAACAGCTAAAAAACCACCAACAAATGGGGAATTTTTGCCTCTACAACAGTGGTTCTCAGCCTGTGGGTCCCCAGATGTTCGCCTACAACTCCCAGAAATCCCAGCCAGTTTACCAGCTGTTAGGATTTCTGGGAGTTGAAGGCCAAAACATCTGGGGACCCACAGGTTGAGAACCACTGCTCTACAACATTCCTGCCTCCAATCCCCCGAAACGAAAAATGAAAAATAAAATTGGAAGTTATATCACTTCTCATGTCAGGAGGGTGAGGAATGTGAAAGCAAAGGAAAAAATGACATCGATAGTTACCCACCCAGCAAGTAGATGGGAGTTTCAGATGGGTTTCAATTTCTCTGATGTAGAAAGTGAGTCCAGTTGGGGAGAAAACGCTGTAGGAGAGAGGCTGATGGGGAGTAAGGCCTAAGAGAAAAATGCAGAACCAGAGCCCCACTTATTTTTTTTCTGAGCCACTGTGGCAATTCCATGCATAAAGGTGTGCCTAGTTCACAATTCTATAATATTGGTTAACAATGTCCAACATGTCATCTGGAAACATGTTCACATGATGTTAGCATCCTCCACTTAACCCTGTCCCTTTTGTCCACTGAAGTCACTCCAAATGTGGTGGTCCTTCCACCTTCCAAAACCATCCACTTGATCTTAAGAGCCATATTTGAATTGGATTTCAAGGCATACAAGTACAGGTTCTTGCCAAATGAATTGTGGGAGTGTATTGTGTATTTAAAGAAGCTAGGCAAGTCTCCTTTGGTGCTACGTCAAAATGTTATTTAGTTGGATAATACCTCCTTAGGTGCAAATCAGTAATGGTAGGCATATAAGTCATGTACTTGAACCCATATCTTGAGCGAGCGCTTTTCTGTCCTAGAAGAGAAACCATGGGAAGTGTAGTGTCCAGTGTAGTCTTGAACTCCTGAAGAAAAAGAGATTTATATTATCAGAAAGATATATCAACAACAGATGTCTGTTTGGCAATTGCCAATTACGGTAGATTTCATAAAATATTATTATAGAGTTTCTCCAAATCCAGAATCTTGATCCTGAAATCAATATTCATACAAAAATCAGAGAGGCCATAAAGAGGAGTGGTAGACATAATCTTGTTTCTTCAGGAAATTAGTGTTTTTGGTGTGCCATCACATTATTAATGATATCAGATCAAGAGCCCTTGTGTATTGTTGAAGGTTTTCATGGCCAGAATCACTGGAGTGTTGTGCGATTTCCAGGCTGTATGGCTGTGTTCTAGCAGCATTTTCTCTTGACGTTTTGCCTGTATCTGTATCTGGCATCTTCAGAGGATCCTCTGAAGATGCCAGCTACAGATAAAGGTGAAACGTCAGGAGAAAATGCTGCTAGAACACAGCCATATAGCCTGGAAACCACACTACACTCCAAAAGCCCTTGTGCCGTAGATCCCCCCCCCCCCATCTCAATCTCAATCTCATTTTCTCCACTCTAAAATCAGTAGCAGATTTTAACACAAATTGGGATCAGTATTTCTCCTCTAAAATATATGGAACCTGAGGAAGAAACAAGAACTAGATATAAGCTCAAGTCTGTAGAATGTACTTCTTTACGCAGCAAAGAATTAAACTGGAATTCTCTACAAGAACTATCCATGATGCCCAGTTCAAAAGCAAACTGGATAAATTCATGCAGGATAGGGCTATTGATGCTTGTTGGTCACGATGGGTGTGTATATTTACCCAAGTACCAGCGACAGGGTCCCTTTGTGCATTCTCTGCTGGAGAGCATGTTGCATTCATGTCCTTCCATAGGTTTCAAGTTGGGTGCTAGAGGAAAGAATGCTGGACTAGACAATTACATCTCATCCTGTTAGTTCATTAGATGTTAAGAATACCAGTAACGTATTGTGGATCTCTAAAAAATTCATTTTCCATTTCATAAGACTACTAGTAAAAGGCTAACTGATTAGGCAGAAGAATCTGGGTGTAGCAAAGTGACACCATTCCCACACTAAGGTTAACTGTGACATTTTTGTTATTTGTATCTGCAACATAGCTTCTCTATTGTTTATTTTAAGACTCCTGCAAAAAGCATATCCAATGTTGGAAGTTGTACAGGTGTTTCTGGTGTAACTTGCAGAGCTGAATAAATGATTAAATGTAATAGCAGGAAATGTCACCTGAAATATGTATGGAAATTACTCAAAGACCGAACATGTGGAAGATATTGCATGGGAAGGGGATTTTTTTTTCTGTTCCCAATGGATACCATAGTAAGTCATCATCTCAGTTATCAACCCTTACCTAATAAAGCAATTTGAATGAGCAGGTTGTGTGAACACATGGATGTTTTGAGGATTCAACTACTAAGATAATATTGACTGCAATTGTAGAAATTATCCCAAAGATTTGTTAAATTACATGGAAATGGAATGCCTTTTCAAAGTCATATCCCACCTCTCAGTGTAAGGTACAGGTTTTCCCTTGACATTAAGTCTAGTCGTGTCTGACTCAGGGGTGGTGCTCATCTCCATTTCTAAGCCAAAGAGCTGCCAGTTTCCGTAGATGCCTCCAATGGCCAGCATGACTGCATGGAGAGCCATTACCTTCCCACAGAAGTGGTACCTATTGATCTACTCACATTTGCGTGTTTTTGAACTGCTAAGTTGGCAGAAGCTGGGGCTAACAGTGGGATCTCACCCCGCTCCTCAGATTAGAACCACAAACCTTTTGGTCAGCAAGTTCAGCAGCTCAGCAGTTTAACTCACTGCGCCACCGGGGGCTCCCTCTCAGTGTAAACTAGGGTGCTTTTCCATTTACAAACTGGTGTGACATGTAGGGAGGAGAAAGTTACTTAAAAATGGCAGTCATTTTTTTCCACAGTGCTTTGTGCTGAATGTGAATCTCAGCAGAGTCCCTGCTATATTTTGATGCTACTAATAATACTCTGTCACTTTGTATTTGCAAGACACCAAGAAGGAGCATTAATGCTTTATATCTCCTTGGAGGTAATAGAATTCACAGCATACTATCAAATCATTATTTAAGCAGATAAAGCGATATTTATCTACATAAGGGATTTCCTTGTTAATAAGCACCAAGAGGAAGGCTCTCCATTCAGAATTTGCTTATTGGATTGGCTCAGTTCCAGGGAGTCCATGTACATATTTAGGGATTCCACACACACACCATGTACCCCTCTTTGTACTTCTTTCTCTCAGAGCTTGCCAAAAGTATGAGTTTACTATTCAGAACCAGCACTAAAGTGGTGGGAAATGGAACAGACAACATAAAAGTATGTTACACTGCTTATGTTTGTTTTTAAAGAAAACTGTTCCCAAGTTAAAATTATCACAAGACTCATTAGCAGTGCTGTGATGATGGAGATACTACCTAATGCTGGCATGAGTCTGAACATGCTTCCCTATAATCCTCCTATAATCTATTTGCTTCCTTTGACCTGGTTGGGTGAGGATTTCTGCTAGGTTGTATTGGTTTGTGAATTGGTATATTTCTCAAAGTGTTTTGTAAAGTTCGCTTGATTTAGATACAACCAAAAAAATGTGTGCCAGAATCCCATTGGAAAGTTACAGCTACATAAACTCTGTACTTATGGATGCTATGCAGTGATTCTCGTCCCAAACCGTTTCATCCTTGCTTTCCAGGCAGCAGCAGCCACTGCAATTGATGGGGGTCTGTTTACCTGTTGCAAGGGAAGGAGCTGATTGACATTTCCACTCCTTCCTATGAGCAGGCTCTAGTCTGACAGACAGAAACACAACTCCTTTCACTATTTCCCTTCAATTGTAGTGGTTGCTCTCCGGTAAGTGTGGATTTTCACAATCCCCATGTATTGCCTAAGCTAAGGATTATGAATGTGAAACAGTCACAAGTGTGAATCTCTAAATTACGCAGACATAACTGCCCAATTGGATTCCAAGCATTCATTTTATTGGACAGCAGATGATGCCCCAGCATCACTATGGGAAGAACATGATCCATGTGGTATATAATACATTCTTGCTAGGCAAATGTTAACCTATTGATTTCAGTAGCAATAAACATGTCTAAAGTACTTAGGATTCTGTTAAGAATTTGGTCATTGTCCTAGCAGAAATTCCCTCAGTTAGACAGGTAAATATCAAGAACAACTTTTCAGATCACAAGCTTCTTTGCATCTCGCAATTTCCCCAATGCCTTATTGAAGATGAAAGAAACCTCTTCAAATGTATACTTTTTGTATGGTTACTACCTAAGATTGACATTAAAAATACTCTTGGCCAGACAGAGAAATTACAAAGAAAAACCACAAGTCATTTCAAAATGTCACTGTCTTCTAGGCTAAAGCCATCTAACCTTTACTGAAGGAGTCTGGACAGCGGGGAAGCACCAATTTTTCTTGGCATAATTTCTCCTGTCTGATTCTGCCTTGAATTTATGGTAATATCTTAGGTTTTCCACTGGATTGTTTTATTTTTGAATATAATGTATAGATGCAGTATCTGATATCTAGGCTATCATCTCTCCACCACCTGTTTTTTTTTTGTGTGTGTGTGTGTGTGTGTGTCAAGGAATCCCCATCAGCTTTGGCAGTAGAACCCAGAAATTAGCAGTTTGAAAAGGCTGTAGACTGAACAGCAATGCAAGACAAACATAGAGGGAAATTTACTTTTCAAAAGGTTTAAAGCAGCCTTCCTGAACAATGGGGTTGAATCAAGAAGGGGAAAGGCAGCCTAGCAGAAGCTTGGTCCTTTAAAAAAAATAATAACATCACAAGGCTTCTGGAGTGATCTGCTATGGTGTGAAAGTGTACAGACTGCAAAGAATAAACTATAAATCAAACATTTCAAAAAATAAAATGACCTCTAGCCACAGAGTCAGGAAGGAAACTTGTAGTACTTGGCACAGATACTATTCAACATGCAGTGCTGGAGTGCTGCCCTTAGCTAATACTTGTACATAAAGCACAGAAAATTAACAATTACTGGGAGCATCAATTTGCATGCTAAAGAAAGTATGCCCCATGCCTTGTGCCTAACACTTGGATTACATATATACACACAACATACCATAGTGTTAAAAAAATTAGCCGTATCAGTTTGTTTTCTCATTAAAAGATATGGGGATCTTGTAGCATATTTGAGACTATTTGTAAAAAATATTTTTTAGCATAAGCTTTCAAGGACTACTAGGAGCCCCTGGTGGTGCAGTGGGTTAAAGTGCTGAGCTGTTGAACTTGGTGACCAAAAGGTCTCAGGATCGAATCAGAAGAGTGGTGTGAGCTCCTGTTGTTAGCCTCAGCTTCTGCCAACCTAGCAGTTTGAAAACATGCAAATGCTAGTAGACCAGTAGGTACTGCTCTGGTGGGAAAGTAAGGCACTCCATGCGGTCATGCCAGCCACATGACCTTGGAGGTGTGTATGGACAACGCCGGCTCTTTGGCTTAGAAATGGAGATGAGCACCAACCCCCAGAGTTGGACACGACTGGACTTAATGTCAGGGGAAAACCTTTACCATTCAAGGACTCCAGTTTGCTTTATCAACTATTACTGGATTCTTTGGTTAGGAATTATTTCCTTATCTCAGTATCAAATGTGCTGTTTGTATCTTGTTTGTAACCTACCAAATGGAGCTGCCTCAATTCCTGTCGGGATATGGAATTAGATTTTATTTTTATTTTGTGTCAAAAGCATTGCATAAATAAGTATAAAACTGATAAAAAATAGAAGCAGAAGTGGCTAAATAAATTTGATCAGAGGTGGGGATAATGTGTCCATCTTGATATAATTGGATTGCAGCTCCCACCAGGCCTAGCCAGCATAGTCAGTAGTGAAAGATTAAGAGAATTGCAAAACGGCAACATCTGGAAAGCCATAGCATGCCAGCACTTGCATTAGTTGAACACAGGAAATGGATTGAGTCCAGGAATAATCTGCCTTGCTAAAAAAAAACTGAGAAGTCACATATAGGACTTATACTTAAGGATTGCCAACTCTGAGTCAAAGATTGCTCCCTGATATTTCACAGAAAGCATCACAGTTTTGTGATGTTGCAAAATTCTGCAGCATCTATTTGCCTGGGTCCCAAAACCATACATGTTTTTAGATGCGCTGTCAAGCTTGAGCTTCAGGAAAGAACTGACATGAGGAGTGAAGCAGGTGGCTTCTTTTTCCTCCTTCCTGTTGCCCTCTATTCTCTGTGAGGGCACACAATAGCTGTCAAGTTCAGAGAAGGGCAGAAGAGACTGAGACAGTTCAATACTTGCTGAAGCATGACAGAACAGAAAGTCCTGCCCTTGTGCTTTCATACTCCATGCCTGGCTGGGCAGTGGACTGGGCTGATGACCTGGCAATGCCATCATGGGCCGAAATAGGTCCAGACCTCAACAGCTTAAGGGAAGAGACTCAGCATCCAGTCTTTGGGAGCTGCTTCCCCTGGAACATTGCATGTATGAGAAAGTAGACAGTGATGTGGTGTCAGAAGTTCATGAAAGACACATTGGAAGGTGAGAGTGCATCACTTGTTAAACTATATATCGGAGAACATTTATATTGGCCTTACTGGTGCTAATACAAAAGAAGAGATGGATTAAAAGTACAATTAGCAGATGGAAATTGATGCTTAATTTTCCCACCCTCACTGACTCTCAACTCTTTTTTTCCTGGAGTCTTCTAGTACATACAGAGAACATTGGTGAGTAGTTCACATACACATAAGATATCTTAAAAGTCTCAAGGAGGGCAAGCTAGATGTAGTCCCTGCATTGGACTCAAGGCCTTTGTGATCTCTTCCAACTCTATGATTCTAGTTGACTCCTCCTTTGCCAATCTCTTGACATCACCTCAGGTGGCCTTATCCTCCAGTTCATCAACTACCTCCCACTGTTTTTCTTTGTGCCCAGTGTTTCCTTGTCCAAAAGCCTTGAGCTCAAAATAACCTACATCGCATGTATTGTTTTGAGGTACCTGCAATCTTCTGTCTGTATTTGTCAACAATGGGTTTTACTTACTCTTGTTTCTGGTTCCTGAAGTAGAGGTTTCCATGAGCGAAAAGCAAAATAATCTCCCTCGCTGGATGAAGAAGAGCTGTCACTGACTGCCAGGAACAATGCAAGCAGAGTGCCTTATTAATACTAAAAGCTTCCTCCTTCATTTATAAAGCTCATCCAAAGTAAATAAGGCGCCTAAAACATTCCCATGTGCAATCAGAATGTTTAAAAATGCACTTTTACCTAAACCCACAAAAAGAAGTATGTAATGCATTTTGCAGAACAAACAATACTAAACAGCCTGCATAATTTATCTCCATTTAAACACAATAGCTCTATTTAAAGTCATGGGAACTGATGCCATCATTTCTGGAAAGGGCAGGACAACGGGGGAGGCCGCTGAATGATTGAGAAGAGGGGCAACACAGCTTTGGGAGGCCCTTGGTGCCCAGAGAGGCTGTGGAGGATGTGATGGATTAATTTACCTACCAGTCTCCACATCATATATTCCCCAGCCTTCCTTCAAGCTTGGCCACCCATCATTCTTGGGTTGTGTTTTTATTTGAGGCTGTATCTATTAATAGTATTTATTTAAAAACAGAACAATAATAACCTGCTAGAATTTTCTTAAGGGAATGTGGCTACAATTGATTTTGCAGAGTTGGTAATGGTGGTATTGAAGGTACTGTATTCTTATCCAATGGAAAAGCTAAATATAATTGGCAAGTTTAGTCCAAGAGAGTTGAATAGCATTGGTCCTTTTAGTCAATTAGAAGCAAATAGTTAGTTATTGGCTGAAGGGGGAGCTTAGACTTGACAAATACTTAGGTAATTTGACTGCACTCTCCACATGGGCACAGGTTCTCACTGGTATTTTGAACCTGCCTGATGAAGCAGGTTTTTAAATTTTATGTATGTTTTAATAGCATTTTATGTTTTTTTATTTTTATTTGTCTGTATGGTTTTACTTTTTGGCAACTGACTATTTTGTCTTAAATGTTGGAAACCACCCTGAGTCTCCTTGGAGAGATAGGGTGGTATATAAATAAAGTTTTATTTATTTATTTATTATTTACTTGTACATTAGAGAAACCAGAGATTGTATTTTTGCCTGAGCATGCTCAGACTTCTTTCATGTTTTCCTGTTCTCTAGCCTTCCAGCTTCCAGGACACTATGGGAGTGACTGGGAGTCATAGCTATTAGTCAGAGAGTATATAGTTGTCCTAAGGCAGTGGTTCTCAACCTGTGGGTCCCCAGGTGTTTTGGTCTTCAACTCCCAGCAATCCCAACCAGTTTACCAGCTGTTAAGATTTCTGGGAGTTAAAGGCCAAAACATGTGGTGCTCCACATGATGAGAACCACTGTCCTAAGGAGTTAACTGTGGTGTAATAATATCAGTGTTGGACAGAGATTCTGGCAGACCTGGGTTCAAATCCCCATTCTGCCATGGAAACTCACTGGGTGACTTTGGATAAGACATGTTCTCTCAGTCTTAGAGGAAGGTAACAATTAACCTCTGAATAAATCCTGCCAAAGCATCCCTATGAGAGATTCACCATAAATCAGTATTGGCTTGAAGACACACAACAATACAAAGTGCAAATGCACCAGGTGAAACCACTATGAAACAAATAATGCTCCAGGAAACATCATTTTGAACAGAAGATTGTGGCAGTCTTCATTTTTTAGTCCTCTCCCCTAATAACTTTCCATTCTTTGCATGACCTCACCAGCAGCAGTGAACATGAACCTTGAACAGGAGGAGACTTCTCAGAAGGTCATATGAAATGATAGCAAAGAAATGATAGAATGGCAAATCTTAGGTATAGCCGTGTCTTTGTCGATGCTCTGCTTGAAACCCCCCTTTTCTTTTCTCAAATGACTTACCAGGTCTTTATTGAACACCTTGCATGTCATTAAAGACAGTAGTTAGTTCCAGCAGAGGTGTTGCTATGGGTATCTAGGTGAGGGTTTCCCCACTCAAATAAGAATTCATTAATAAACTTTATCTTCCACCCCTAAATTTTTAGCATTGCACAGAGCACAATACTGAAAACAACCGACTCTAGTACTCTTGTTTTCGCTGTACTTATATTATTTTGCTATCTTTGCCTTCACTTTTCTTTTGTTGTCTAAATTGTATAGCTACATGCTCAACTGAAGTTTTAAATTATTCCAATTCTAGAAATTTAGGGAATAAAGGAAATGCCACGGGGAGGCAGAATTCTTGTTTTCGGGGGGGGGGGGGGGCAGTGCCCGGTTTTTTACACACACCCATGCGCCTTCCAAAATAGCAACACTCCTGAGTCCCAAAATGCTTGGTCATGAATGTATCCCATGTCTGCCCTGTTTATTAAGGATACATTTCTGAATTTTCTAAACACAATAAACAAATCTATGCACAGAGTTTTTTTTAAACACGGTGTAAATCTACAATGCCATTAAGAAGATATGGGTCCCTATGCTGACAATGGTCGAAGTTTTGTGGAAAACAAACACCTACCTGAGGCTGATGGGGCTTTTGAGGAAAACACAAAGGAGGTGGAACCATCTTTATTTAATTCTCTGAATTTTGCTTTGGTCGCTGTGGAACGACCAGATGGAGTTTTGCTAGTTGCCGAAGAATCAATAGAAAAGTGTCTTGTGTACCTAATTGGAAGAACCAGATTGGTTGTGCTGTGAGACGTATCCTGCTGAAAAAGTGATTGTGAGCATCAATTCCAGGCTAAGTTAAGTTAGATCCTTTTAACTACTTTACAGAGCTGATGCAAATATAATGTCACATCATTTATCTTTAGACACTGAAACTTAGTTACTTGATATGCAACAAAATGAAACCTCATACAAAGTCATCCTTCTCATCCAGCTTATTCCAACAGAATCAAAACAGTTGTTAAATATTGCTCCAGCAGTCCTTACAACAGTTAAACCTAGCAGCCCAGGATATTATTGCAGGTAGAAGATGGGAAAGATGAAGCAGAGAGAAACTCAGGCTTGCCTAAGGTCACCTAATGATTTCTGTGGCATGATCTGAACTTATGTTACAATTCACACAACTCATTGCTGGAGTGGGCAGGTATCTACCACAAGTCTAGTAACAAAACTTGGGAAAGCAATATTTTTGGACTATATTTTCCAAAATTTCCTATGAGCATGGCCACTGGTAATACTGATTGAGGGAGTCTGGGAGTTATAGTCCAAAAAGAGTACCTACTCAGTCTCTGGAGTGAATGAGCACTTTGTACAGACAGTCCCCAAGTTACAAACATCTCATTTACAAACGACTCATAGTTAAGAACAGGGTGAGACAACAGAAAGTGAGAGAAATCTGCCCCTCAGAAGGGAATTTTTCTCCTGAACCAGTTATCATGAGGAAAAGGTGGTTCAACTGAAGCTTTATCACCAATCCTTGTTTCCACAACGAGCCTTTTTTTCCAAAATCCAATGATCACAGGGACAGAAAGTCAGGTGAAAGTTTCTGAACAGGGGCACGACAGCAAAATGGACACCACAGGGGTGTTAACACTTCCCTATGCTTTCCAAAGCTAAAAAGTATATATTTTTGACTGGAGTTAATACTTTAAAAATTTACCTGCTCCAACTTACATACAAATTCAGCTTAAAAACAAACCTACAGACCTCACCTCTGAGGATGCTTGCCATAGATGCAGGCGAAACGTCAGGAGAAATGCCTCTAGAACATGGCCATATAGCCTGAAAAAACCCACAAGAACTGAGAAACCTACAGAACCTATCTTGGGGACTGCCAGTAATGTGATGCCAAGGCACAATTCTTGATTCTTTGTGTTTCCAAGAAAACAGAGTCATCCAAATTGTGCCAGAGCTATTAGAAATGGTTGTCAAGTGTGGGAACGTTCTGTTTGTTGGTAAGAGTTCTCCAAGGCTCTATGCTACAATCATTTGCAAATGTCTGAGCACCAAGCTTTACCGAACATGGCAAAGATTACAGTGTACTTAAATGCATGTAGGGCAACATTAGATCCCTGCCATTCACACACCAGATGTGTTACAATCCTGAGGGGAGGCTTCTCTCAGAGCCAGTCTTCAGAAATGAGTTTACAAAGTGGAGCCCACGACATGCGAATGTGGAGAAGAGCAAACCACAGACCACTTATTACAATGCAGCCTGAGCCACGTCACATGCACAATGGAGGACCTTCTTACAGCAACACCAGAGGCACTCCCAAGTAGCCAGCTTCTGGTCAAAGGACATTTAGTATAATGCCAAGTTTTTAACTTTGTGTTTTTAAATACATTATAGCTGTACCCTCAACTCGCTTCTGACCAGTGACTAAATAAATAACCTGGAAGTAGAGTGCTTCCCTTTAAGGCTTCAGTGTACCACCACAAACATAAACAGGAAGAAACTTCTAAGACATTTTTCTTATACAAACATCTCTAAAAATGAGGTGAGTCTTAGAAGCACAAGTGTATCTCATGTATTTTTGTTGTTGTTGGCACTGAAATTAAGGTGCATCTTACAATTGATGGCATCTTGCAATTGAAGAAATACGGTAATTGCATTCTGCTGGGGATCTGACCCGCTAGATGTCATGGGATAACAGTTGCCATCATTACTTCCCATTGGCTATGCTGGTAGAGCAGCTGGGAATTGTTGTCTACCAACATGTGGAGGGCCAGCTGAGGTCCACCTATCATGAGAGTTTCCTTCTACAGATAATGTTACCATCACCGGCTGCAAAGTGCAGACACAGAACCCTCCATTACATAAACCACTACTTCTCAATCCAGGTGTTTTGGACTTCGGCTTCTACAATTCCTAATAGCTGGTAACCATATCTATTCCAGGGACTTACCAAACCAGGACTCTCAGAGGCCAAAATGGAAGTTCATAACGGAAACTACTAGTAGTAAATATGCAGATAACATTTACCATAAGGAATATGGAGATTATGGGAAAACGTACGTGCCTGAACATATATCATGCAGAAGATGGCAAAGAACAGAACAATTAGACCAGACTGGTTAGCAGACCTGCAGTCATGATGCAGAAAGGGGGCAGGGATGTGAAATTTCACAATTCTTTCCCCCACTGCATCCCTCTGTACCTTTGAGAGTTTTTCACCTTCTCTGAAGGGAAGGAGCCAAACTGGATTTACCCCAATGGATGAAAATTTCAGGGAGCGAATTTTCAGTTAAACATTAGAGAAGGGTCTTCCTAATGCTCAAACTTCTTTGAAAGACGAATAGCTTGACATGGGAGGTAAGATATTTCTTCATTAGCAGTATTCAAATACATAGTAATACCACCACCACCACAACAACAACAATAACAACAAGATTGTAACTGCATCCTTCATTGTGAAATCTACCAGGAGAAGGACTGGCCTATGAATATATCCCATGATGCCCATTCCTGTTTCCTATTATTATTATTATTATTATTATTATTATTATTACGCTGCTTTTTCTCTTCACAAGGAGACACAAAATGGCCTTACTGATTCATTTCTAGATTGAACGTGTACCTTCTCTTGAGCATGGTGTCTGATCCTGCATGCTTGCACTGGTTTTGCTGAAAGAAGAGGAGGTCTCGTGAAGGCATAATGGACTCATTGTATGTATCTTCATCATCGCCGTCATCATCACTGTCAAGTGGGAATTTGTCCAGTGAAAGGTCCAAGTTATCACTGTAGGCCTCTGCAGCAGTTGTGAATTGGTGAGAGTTTGCATGTTGCGAGATCATCTTGGCAGATGAAGCAAAAGGGACAGAAAGTTATTCACCAGATCTCTGCTGCTTATTTCTTTGTATTTCAATGCTTTTTTTTCATGTCACGAGTGACTTGAGAAACTGCAAGTCGCTTCTGGTGTGAGAGAATTGGCCATCTGCAAGGATATTGTCCAGGGGATGCCCGAATGTTTTGATGTTTTACTATCCTTGTGGGAGGCTTTTCTCATGTCCTTGCATGGGGAGCCAGAGCTGACAGAGGGAGCTCATCTGCTCTCTCCCTGGATTCGAACTTGTGACCTGTCAGTCTTCAGTCCTGCTGGCACAAGGGTTTAACCCACTGCACCACTGAGGACTCCTCTATTTCAGTGCTGACTTTCTGCCAATATTCTCAAACTAATTTATAATTTCACATGTTAAAGAAAACAAGGAAAATAAATTGTTAAAATTTCCCAGAAATATTCTGAGAAATGGGGAAAATTGGATAAAATAAATGATATGACAGAAGAGAAATGGATTCAGTCCAGCTCTTTTCTCTCCCAGAGCAATGGGAACTGGAGTGGTTTGTTCCCAGAATATTGTCACAAAACATGCCAGGAGCAGCCCTTCCATGAGGCGGTGAGATGTCAGATGCTGAGGGCTGGAGAGCAGAGCTGTGCGCGGCATGTGGCCCTTAAGGCAGTGGTTCTCAACCTATGCATCCCCAGGTGTTTTGGCCCACAACTCTCAGAAATTCCAACCAGTTTATCAGCGGTTATTAAGATTTCTGGAAGTTGAAGGCCAAAACATCTGGAGACCCATAGGTTGAGAACCACTACCTTAAGGTAAGGCCTCGCATGTAGTGAAGAAGGCTGTCCTGTTACCCAAAGTTTCAGGAGTTATAAGTAAGGTGCATCATTTCTAAAAAAAACAAAAAACAACAAAGCCATGAGGAACATTGTTTCCATTCTATCTGTTAAACAAAGCAATTTCACCTGACCGCTGTGATCATAGAGGACGGTAAGGCACCCGGGACCTGCCTTGAAAAAACGTGGTCCAGACAACTCATCCAGAGGCTGCTGGTGAGCAAGGCTGGCTGCAGCAGACCAAATCTGGAAAACATGGCATAAATTGAAGCCTTAATAATTGTGCACAATAGTATATACTCTATAGTTCACTTTTTGTAATTTATTTATTTATTTACAGAATTTATATTCCGCCCTTCTCACCCCGCAGGGGACACAGGGCAGATTACGATGCACATATACATGGCAAACATTCAATGCCAGTTAGAAATACAACATATATAGACAGACACAGAGGCAATTTTAACATTCCAGCTGTGCCCAAGCTTCTTCCGACTTCATGAGGTTATGCTGGATTCCAGCTAGATTCCGGCCACAGGGGGAGCTGCCTCTTCACTGTCCATTGATGGAGTACTTCCTCATTCTACATGCTGCTGGAAGGTTTTGTAACTCAATGCTTTTCATCTTCATATATGTGCAGTTGTATCCTGATAGTTTTTTTTAAAAAAAACCAATAACCAGATATTCCAACTTCACAAATTCTTCCAAAAATGTTAGATATGCAGACCTCAAGGGGCATGTTTTTTTTTTCCCCAAAGAAATGGTGTTTCAAAAAAAAAAATACTGTTGTAGCCTAAAAACCATGTGCTCCCTTGGAAGAATTGAGCTTTTTGCCTTTAGTTTATAAATAAGCAATATTTTAGGTAAGAATAAAATATTTTGGGTTTTTTTTAAACTGCTCTGTATGTTCCATGAAAAGGAGAATACCGTCTGCTCATTTTAGAAAGAATAACCCAAGAACGTGAGCAACAGACAAGAAGTTTTCTTCCATTTGATTTCCTCCTCAGGCCCTTTCTACACTGACATATAATCCAGATTATTAAACCAGATAAAAGGAGCCCCCGGTGGGGCAAAAGGTTAAACCAATGAGCTGCTGAACTTGCTGACTGTAAGATTGGTGGTTCGAATCCGGGGAGCGGAGTAAGCTCCCGTTGTTAGGCCCAGCTTCTATCAACCTAGCAGTTCAAAAACATGCAAATGTGAGTAGATCAATAGGTACCGCCTTGGCGGGAAGGTAACGGCGCTCATGACCTTGGAGGCGTCTATGGACAATGCCGGCTCTTCAGCTTAGAAATGGAGATGAGCGCTAACCCCCAGAGTCGGACACAACTAGATTTAATGTCAGGGGAGAACCTTTACCTTACTTATTAGATTATCTGCTTTGAACTAGATTATATGAGTCTATACTGCTAAATAATCCAGTTCAAAGCAGATACTCTGGATTTTTTTATGGTAGTGTAGATGGTACCTAAGTGACATTTAAATCAGCCAAAGAGATGTTCCTACTGTTTCGTTACATGTATTTTTCCAAAACCAATGATCCTCTAAAACTGGGCTTCTCTTGCTATTACCAAGACTGCTTGATAAACCCTGACCAAGATCCTGCCTCAAGAGTGGTAGCTACGAGCTTTGTCATTATAGCTACTTTCTCTAACAGTGAAGAAAACTCACTTGAAGTGTGGCCCTGAAAAAAACAAAGCAATAACTGCAAGAGCAAATCAAGACAGAGTTCTACCTTCCAACCAAGCTGACTAAACTGAGATTGTTGAACTTTGGAAATATCATGAGAAGATATGACTCACTAGAAAAGACAATAAATCTTGGAAAGGCAGAAAGAACTTGGAAAAGAAGATGACAACATTACAAATAGAGTCAATCATGGAAGCTACGGCCCTGGATCTGCAAGCCCTGAGCAGGGCTGCTGATGATAAGAGTGGCTTGGAAGTCTTTCATTCATATAGTCGCCACAAGTTGATGTCAACTTGAAGACAGTTAATAGCAACACTGTACTGAACAGTATCCTTTGCTCAGCAACAGCTAAGCCCAGGCAGTTTCTATCTCCCCTTTCCACAAATGGGCAACAATCTGCTTTTGCTTATCAACCAAATTGACATCACACTGAGGACTGGGAAATGTGAGGGGTCCATGGTACTTACAGTAATATGGTGCTGCGCAGGCAGAATCGTACCACTTGGGAAACGGTAGATGGAAACCGGGTGCCCTCCAACCCACTGCTGGAGGCGGTAGCCACTGAGGTCCATCTCCTTGTTCATTGAGGAGTTGAGGATTCTGACAAATTTGCCTCTACGGTGGACATTGACAATCTTTACAGCGCCTCCTTTGATAGAAGAACTGGTGAGACAAAATGGTGAAGAAGAGAGAACAGACTGATAAGACATTGGGCTCTTCCTAAAGAAGCAAATGCCTCATAGGGTTTTGCAGGTTGTTGCTGCTTCTGCCTCCATTCATTTTATTCCTTTTTGGCGGTTGACTGCAGAAATTTCTTGGATCCTTACTAGTGCTCTTCCAAATATTATTTTTTAAAATAATGTGGGGTGTGGTTTGCTGAGGTGATATTATGGTTGAAGACCAATTTTCCCTCCTTCCTTTTTTAAAAAAGAGAGTTGTAGTGTTAATAGTGCAAAAGTGCCATTTTACTGATTTACTAATGCAGAGAGGTACGGCAACTCTATTTTTTTAAAGAAAAGAAGATATTGTTAATTTTTGTTAATTAAATTAATTAAAAAGAAGTCCATTTAAGAATGGGAATAAAATATTGCAGTTGAATGCAATAATAATAATAATAATAATAATAATAATAATAATAATAACAACAACAACAACAACAACAACAATAATGGGTTGCTGTGAGTTTTTGGGGATGTTCCAGTAGCATGTTCTAAATGTTCCTGCAACTGATCTGGCTGCCGTATTTTGAACTGGCTGGAGTTTACGAACTTGGTACAAAGGTAGCCCAATGTAGAGCACATTGGCCATGAATAGTCCATGATGACAGAAACATCATTTGAATTTTAAAAATAAAACACCAAAAGAGAAGTCAGCCATAGCAGAGCACCTGATGAACCAACCTGGACACAGCATATTATTTGAGAACACAGAAATGCTGGACCACTCTAACAACCACCATGTCAGACTACACAAAGAAGCCATTGAAATCCACAAGCATGTGGACAATTTCAACAGAAAGAAGGAAACCATGAAAATAAACAAAATCTAGCTACCAGTATTAAATAAACTCTAAAATCAGAACAGTAAATAAAAAACTTCTAGATTTTTTGAAGATTATATTAATCAAACCAATGAATAATCAAGTCGATAAAAATTAAACCTACAAACAGGGAGGGCTAAATGTATTGTTTTTCTTATAGAGGACTTCCTCCAAGTTCCTCCATTCAATGCCACTTACCTTTTCTTTCTTTCTATGGAAGGCACCATTTTTTCTCCATCTGACAGTCGTCCAATAGTAAGACCAGCCTGAGCAAGGTTCCATTGATCCAAAGCTTGAACTATAGTTTTGGAAAATTAAAACACAACGTCTTCATGTCCCACATTAATACATATATATTTATACAATTTGATTTTTCAGATCTTATAAATAAATTATTTGTTGTTGTGCCTTCATATATAATCACATGGAAACCATATCCCAAATAGGTTTACCATTGCCATCCTGTCAGGCTGAGAGAGTGTGACTTGCTAAGATCATCCATGGGTTTCCATGCCAAGTGAGGGTTTGAGTCCTGGTCTCTCACAGTCTTAGTCCAACACTCAAACCACTACACCATGTTGTTGTTGTTGTTCATTCGTTCAGTCGTCTCCGACTCTTCGTGACCTCATGGACCAGCCCACGCCAGAGCTCCCTGTCGGCCGTTACCACCACCAGCTCCCTCAAGGTCAGTCCAGTCACTTCAAGGATGCCATCCATCCATCTTGCCCTTGGTCGGCCCCTCTTCCTTTTGCCTTCCACTTTCCCCAGCATAATTGTCTTCTCTAGGCTTTCCTGTCTCCTCATGATGTGGCCAAAGTACTTCAACTTTGTCTCTAGTATCTTTCCCTCCAATGAGCAGTCGGGCTTTATTTCCTGAAGGATGGACTGGTTGGATCTTCTCGCAGTCCAAGGCACTCTCAGAACTTTCCTCCAACACCACAGTTCAAAAGGGTCTATCTTCCTTTGCTCAGCCTTCCTTTTGGTCCAGCTCTCATATCCGTAGGTTGCTATAGGAAATAACAAGGCTTTAACTATGCAGTCTTTGTTGCCATTCTGATGTCTCTACTCTTTACTATTTTATCGAGATTGGACATTGCTCTCCTCCCAAGAAGTAAGCGTCTTCTGATTTCCTGGCTACAGTCTCCATCTGCAGTAATCTTTGCACCTAGAAATACAAAGTCTGTCACGGCCTCCACGGTTTCTCCCTCTATTTTCCAGTTGTCAATCATTCTTGTTGCCATAATCTTGGTTTTTTTGACGTTTAGCTGCAACCCAGCTTTTGCGCTTTCTTCTTTCACCTTCATTAGAAGGCTCCTCAGCTCCTCCTCGCTTTCGGCCATCAGAGTGGTGTCATCTGCATATCTGAGGTTGTTAATGTTTCTTCCAGCAATTTTCACCCCAGCTTGCATTCATCCAGCCCCGCACATCGCATGATGTGTTCTGCATACAAGTTAAAAAGGTTGGGTGAGAGGATGCAGCCTTGCCGTACGCCTTTCCCAATCTTGAACCAGTCTGTTGTTCCGTGGTCTTACTTACTGTTGCTACTTGGTCCTTGTACAGATTCCTCAGGAGAGAGACAAGGTGGCTTGGGATGCCCATCCCACTAAGAACTTGCCACAATTTATTATGATCCACACAGTCAAAGGCTTTAGAATAGTCAATGAAGCAGAAGTAGATGTTTTTCTGAAACTCCCTGCCTTTCTCCATTATCCAGCGGATATTGGCAATTTGGTCTCTCGTTCCTCTGCCTTTTCTAAACCCAGCTTGAACATCTGGCAACTCTCGCTCCATGTATTGCTGGAGTCTTCCTTGCAGGATCTTGAGCATTACCTTACTGGCATGAGAAATAAGGGCCACTGTACGGAAGTTGGAGCAGTCTTTCGCATTTCCCTTTTTTGGTATGGGGATATAAGTTGATTTTTTCCAGTCTGATGGCCATTCGTGTGTTTTCCATATTTGCTGGCAAATGGCATGCATCACCTTGACAGCATCATCTTTTAAGATTTTAAACAGTTCAGCTGGGATCCCGTCGTCTCCTGCTGCCTTGTTGTTAGCAATGCTTCTTAAGGCCCATTCAACCTCACTCCTCAGGATGTCTGGTTCTAATTCATTCACCACACCGTCAAAACTATCCGCAATATTATTATCCTTCCTATACAGATCTTCTGTATAGTCTCGCCACCTTCTCTTGATCTCTTCAGCTTCTGTTAGGTCCCTGCCATCTTTGTTTCTTATCATACCAATTTTTGCCTGAAATTTACCTCCAATGTTTCTAATTTTCTGGAAGAGGTCTCTTGTCCTTCCTATTCTGTTGTCTTCTTCCACTTCCATGCATTGCTTATTTAAAAATAGTTCCTTATCTCTTCTGGCTAACCTCTGGAATTGCGCATTTAACTGGGCATATCTCCCCTTATCCCTGTTTCCTTTGCTTTCCTCCTTTCTTGGGCTACTTCCAGTGTCTCAGCAGACAACCATTTTGCCTTCTTGGTTTTCTTTTTCTTTGGGACGTACTTTGTTGCTGCCTCCTGAACAATGTCTCGGACCTCTGTCCATAGTTCTTCTGGGACTCTGTTTACTAAATCTAGTCCTTCAAATCTGTTCTTCACTTCCACTGTATATTCGCTAGGAATGTTAGTGAGATCATATCTAACTGGTCTGTGTACTTTCCCTGATCTCTTTAGTTTTATTCTAAATTGAGCAATAAGAAGTTCGTGATCTGAGCTACAGTCAGCCCCAGGTCTTGTTTTCACCGACTGGATGGATGTCCGCCACCTTTGGCTGCAAAGGATGTAGTCAATCTGATTTCGGTGTTGACCGTCTGGTGAGTCCATGTATAAAGCCGTCTTTTAGGTTGTTGGAAGAGAGTATTCGTTATACACAGCGAGTTTTCCTGGCAAAATTCTATCAGCCTGCGTCCCGCTTCATTTTGTTCTCCCAGACCATGCTTGCCTGTGATCGCTGTTGTCAGTTGACTTCCCACCTTGGCATTCCAGTCTCCTGTAATGAAAATAATGTCTCTTTTTGGTGTATTATCCAGTAGGTCCTGCAGATCCTCATAGAACTGATCTACTTCTGCTTCTTCAGCAGCTGTGGTTGGGGCGTATATTTGGATCACTGTAATGCTGAAAGGCTTTCCTTGCACTCGAATTGAAATCATTCTGTCATTTTTTGGGTTGTATCCAAGCACCGCTTTAGCGAATTTCTTATTAATTATGAAGGCTACTCCATTTCTTCGATGTTCCTCTTGTCCGCAGTAGTAGATCTGGTGGTCATCTGATGTGAAGTGGCCCATTCCAGTCCTTCAGTTCGCTGACCCCCAGAATGTCTATCTTTAGTCTTGACATCTCACCAATAACAACATCCAATTTGCCCTGGCTCATAGATCTTACATTCCAGGTTCCTATGGTGTGTTGATCTTTAGAGCATCGGATTCGTCGTTCACCTCCAGTACCGTCGGCCGCTAGCCTTCCTTTCGGCTTTTAGCTAGCTGCGTCATCACATCTGGGGCTAGTTGAACTTATCCTCTGCTCCTCCCCAGTAGCATTTTGGCCATCTTCCGACCTGGGAGTCCCATCTTCCAATGGCATACCGACATATCTCTGGTTGTACTGGTCCATTTAGTTTTCTTGGCAAGGATTACTGGAGTGGTTTGCCATTGCCTTCCCCAGGGATCACGCTTGGTCTGACCTCTCTGCCACAACCGTCCCGTCTTGGGTGTCCCTTCACGGTTTCGCTCATGACATCATTGAGGTGCTCAAGCTCCAGCGCCCCGACAAGGCGGTGATCCTTTGCTGGAGCACTACACCATGCAAGCTCTAAATAAAGAAATAGCATCAAAAATTTAAAAGTCTGCTGCCTGTATGTCATGTATATATTAAGCTGCAGCGCTGAGAATTTCTTTAACTGAAAAGATGCCTATAGATCGACTGATTGTTAATTAACCAGTCAATTAGCCAGCCAGTCAATTGATACAATTGACCAGATTTGCAAAATGAATTCAAAGTGCAAATGCAGTTTGAACTCAACTCAGCGAGGTAAAAGTACAGAGGAGAAGAATACCATTTTCACGAATAGACTCTGTCAGAAGCAAACTGGGGCAGTCTTTCCTATCTTGTCTTCTCTTCCTCATTAATAATCTTTATTTATTTATTTATTTATTTATTCATTTCATTTAATTTCATTTTTATCCCACTTTTCTCGACCCCAAAGGGGACTCAAGGCGGTTTACAAATCCGGCAAAAATTCAATGCCATACAGATAAACAATAAAGTACATATCATCAAAATATAAACATTCTAGATATATAGGCAATTAAAACACATACAGAATCAATCAATCAAACAGATTAAAAACCATATAAAATACCGAGTCATGACTCTTGCCATCTTGACCATGCTTAGATGTTGCTTTGCTACACTTATCCCTGTTATCATCTTGCTGAAGAGTATGTACCACTGCAATTGTGACTCTTCAACTAAACAACCAACCAATGCCAGGCCATTTGTTTTTAAGAGGAAGAATCTGAACTTACCTTTTTCTTGTTGGGGTTTCTCCGTTTCCAAAGAAGACTCTGTTGTCTTGGTTTCAGTCACAGAGGAAGTGAGGTCTGATTTCTGAGAGCTCATTATAGCCATTGAGGATTGTTCAGAAGGCAATTGACTACCCGTTCTTGAGCTGCAACAGAGAAACAACGTTCTATGTAGAATACTCATAGTTACTTAGATTGTTTTAAAAAAACCCTTGAGACATATTTTCCAATATGAGTTCAATATCCCTTATTCAAAATGCTTGGGACCAGAAGTGTTTGGGATTTTACAGGATTACATTGGAAATGGGTTACCAGTTTTCCCATTGCATGTTTCATAGAATCATAGAAGAGACCAAAATGTCATCTAATCCAAACCCATATGGGGCAGAATGTTGGAAGTGGGTTGTTCTTTATTCATTCTCATAAAGATAAATGCATATCTGGATCACAATTCCAGGTATAAAATCTTAAGTATCTCCCACTGAAATGATTAGAGATTAGTATAGCCGAGATGTAGCCTGGAGGGAGACTGAGGATCTGTGAAGTGACAGGAATACAAGCAGCATGAATCCTCATCTTGTGCCATTTCCACTATTGCATGCCAAGGCTGGGAACCACCTCTGTACATAACACACACTCCAGTCCAAGGTAAAATAGCAACACAGTTGATAGAAGAATACATATAAAAACCAATTCAGCAAAATAGTATAAAAAACTTAAGTCCAAATATCAGGAATAATCTACAGAAATCAAAGTACAGGAATAGCATCAAAAACCAGGAATATAAAAGCAGAATAAATTCAAAACATGAGATTCAGGAACAGTCTGTAAAACTTAGAATCATGAGATATGAACAAAAGGAAACATGGAACTAGAAATCCCTTGACTTGACAATAGATCTATACTCAATCACCAACGTTGCCTGGACTAACGGACTAGCTAAAATAGCTAAAATAGAGAGAAAGTCATGCCTTCTCCTCTGGAAAACTGATAAGGACTTCTTCACTAACAATTATCTTCACTCAGTCTCCTGAGTAACCCTATGTTAATGAAGCGTAAATCTCCTATCTAACTGCTCATTAATCTGTCCAGCTGGACTTTCATTTTCAACCTCTGAGCTCTAATCTGTTTGTGACCATGCTTCCCAAGTGAACTGCCTTTCAGGAATGTGGCCTTCACACACAGACCACTCATTTTCAGTACCGTATATTCCGGCATATAAGACGACTGGGCATATAAGACGACCCCCCAACTTTTCCAGTTAAAATATAGAGTTTGGGATATACTCGCCGTATAAGACCACCCCTCTTCCAATGCACACCAAATAAAATTTTTAAAAAATCAGATTTGACTTCAATATGGTAATTTTAATTCAAATGCTTCTGACATGCAGGTTCCTATGAGAGGGGCATTGTACCTTACATTGGACAGTACAGTTGCTCTTCCTCCCTTGAATTTCATTTACACTCTGGGTCCTTTACATCATGCTGGCAAGTATGAAAGCAGGCTTTAAATGGTTCAGATTACATGTATGTTGGCATAGAAGCTTGCATGCAAATAGAAGTCAGGTTTTGTACGATGAGTACTGAGGTGAAGGCAAAGCATTTGTAGAATTTTTATCTATAAGCAGTCTTTATAAATCAGGACCTCCTATCAGAAGAGAGGGGCAGACTGGACCCTCATCCTTCAGAAATGTAGCATTTGGCATGGTACATGTTCACTGGGTCACATCTTGACATGTCTTCATCCTTAAATCACCGTGACAGCTTGAATTGTTTTAGAGTTTCTCTAAATTAGAGTTTAATTGTTAGAAGGGGAAAAGAGATCAGAAAAGAGGAAGGGACCCTGGGTCAATAAGAGCTTTCCAGTTTGACTTCTGTCAAAACTGAAATGCAAAGATACAGGATGGGGGACGCGTGGCTCGAGAGTGGTATGGGTGAAAAAGATCTTGGGGTCCTTGTGGACAACAAGTTAAACATGAGCCAACAATGTGATGCGGTGGCAAAAAAATTAAAAAAACACAATAGGATTTTGGCCTGCATCAATAGGAGCATAGCATCTAGATCCAGGGAAGTCATGCTCCCCATGCTCTATTCTGCCTTGGTTAGACCAAACCTGGAATTACATTGTGTCCAATTCTGGGCACCACAACTGAAGGGAGATGTTGACAAGCTGGAATGTGTCCAGAGGAAGAGGGTGACTAAAATGATCAAGGGTCTGGAGAACAAGCCCTATGAGGAGCGGCTTAAAGAGCTGGGTATGTTTAGTCTGAAGAAGAGAAGGCTGAGAGGAGACATGATGAGAGCCATGTGTAAATATGTGAGAAGAAGTCATAGGGAGGAGAGAGCAGATCAAGGGTCTGGAGAACAAGCCCTATGAGGAGTGGCTTAAAGAGCTGGGTATGTTTAGTCTGAAGAAGAGAAGGCTGAGAGGAGACATGATGAGAGCCAAGTGTAAATATGTGAGAGGAAGTCATAGGGAGGAGAGAGCAGATCAAGGGTCTGGAGACCAAGCCCTATGAGGAGTGGCTTAAAGAGCTGGGCATGTTTAGCTTGAACAAGAGAAGGCTGAGAGGAGACATGATGAGAGCCATGTGTAAATATGTGAGAGGAAGTCATAGGGAGGAGAGAGCAGATCAAGGGTCTGGAGACCAAGCCCTATGAGGAGTGGCTTAAAGAGCTGGGCATGTTTAGCTTGAAGAAGAGAAGGCTGAGAGGAGACATGATGAGAGCCATGTATAAATATGTGAGAGGAAGTCATAGGGAGGAGAGAGCAGATCAAGGGTCTGGAGAACAAGCCCTATGAGGAGTGGCTTAAAGAGCTGGGTATGTTTAGTCTGAAGAAGAGAGACTGAGAGGAGACATGATGAGAGCCATGTATAAATATGTGAGAAGAAGTCATAGGGAGGAGAGAACAGATCAAGGGTCTGGAGAACAAGCCCTATGAGGAGTGGCTTAAAGAGCTGGGCATGTTCAGTCTGAAGAAGAGAAGGCTGAGAGGAGACATGATGAGAGCCATGTATAAATATGTGAGAGGAAGTCATAGGGAGGAGAAGCAGATCAAGGGTCTGGAGAACAAGCCCTATGAGCGGCTTAAAGAGCTGGGCATGTTTAGCTTGAAGAAGAGAAGGCTGAGAGGAGACATGATGAGAGCCATGTGTAAATATGTGAGAGGAAGTCATAGGGAGGAGAGAGGAGATCAAGGGTCTGGAGAACAAGCCCTATGAGGAGTGGCTTAAAGAGCTGGGCATGTTTAGCTTGAAGAAAAGAAGGCTGAGAGGAGACATGATAGCCATATATAAATACGTGAGAGGAAGTCATAGTGGAGGAGAGAGCAGATTCAAGGGTCTGGAGAACAAGCCCGTGAGGAGCGGCTTAAGGAGCGGGGGCATGTTTAGCCTGAAGAAGAGAAGGCTGAGAGGAGACATGATTAGAGCCATGTATAAATATGTGAGAGGAAGACACAGGGAGGAGGAGGGAACAGATCAAGGGTCTGGAGAACAAGCCCTATGAGGAGTGGCTTAAAGAGCTGGGCATGTTTAGCTTGAAGAAGAGAAGGCTGAGAGGAGACATGATGAGAGCCATGTATAAATATGTGAGAAGAAGTCATAGGGAGGAGAGAGCAGATCAAGGGTCTGGAGACCAATCCCTATGAGGAGTGGCTTAAAGAGCTGGGCATGTTTAGCTGAAGAAGAGAAGGCTGAGAGGAGACATGATGAGAGCCATGTGTAAATATGTGAGAGGAAGTTATAGGGAGGGCGAAGGGAGGGAGGGGGCGAGGAGGAGGAGCGGCAGCCTTTGCTACCAATCTGGCAGCGTGGTAGCCTACTGGGCTGTCTTCACCCTCGCAGGCATTGAGTTGGCTCTGCCTCCGCCCTCCATCTCAGAACAGCTGCTGCAGGAGGGAGCCAAAGCCAGAGGGGCGGGGGGGGCGGGGCCTCTGGCTGCTCCGCCCCGCCCCCGCAGAGGGCCCCGCCCCCCAGTCCCACCCCCGCGCTCTGGCTTCAACTCCTGCTGCTTTACCAGGCCGGCGGGGGTGTTTGCATGCTGTAATGTCCCCTCCGCCACTGGTCTGCTGCTAGCTCTGCCTCTGGCCTCAAAGCCAGAGCAACTGCCGAGGGAACCAAAACCGGAGCGTGGGCGGGGCTGCGAGGGGCGGGGTCCTCTTCTCCCACTGCCTCCCTGCTCTGGGTTTGGTTCCCTCGGCAGTTGCTCTGGCTTTGAGGCCAGAGGCGGAGGTAGCAGCAGACCAGTGGCGGAGGGGACAGCACAGCATGCAAACACCCCCCGCCGGCCTGGTAAAGCAGCAGGACTTGATGCCTCCGCAGGGGGGCGGGACCGGGGGCGGCACCCTCCGCGGGGGATGGGGCCGGAGTAGCCAGAGGCCCCACCCCCACCCCTCCGGCTTTGGCTCCTGTTCTGGGATAGAGGGCGGAGGCGGAGCCCACTGAATGCCGGCGACAGCCCAGTAGGCTACCATGCTGCCAGCTTGGTAGCGAAGCCTGCCGCTGCTCCTCCTCCCTCCCTCCCTCCACCCTCCCTCCTCCTCAGGCTCCACGCGGGGACGCCAAGGGCGAGGGACAGAGGGAAAATAATCCAAAAAAATTTATGCCGGGGTACAAGACGACTCCCCACTTTTGAGATGATTTTCCAGGCTTAGAAAGTCGTCTTGTACCCCGGAATATACGGTACTTAAAATGTATTGCTGGCTTTCCTCCTGACTTGCAGACCCAGAATCCCCAGTATCATCAGAATGACTAACAGGTCCAGAATCTCCAAAGAGATCAGGTACAGGCACAAGCAAAGGCTGAACTACAACATCCACCAACGTCTGTATCCAGCCTTGTATCTCTTGTGGTCTCTCTCCTGCCTCTCACCACTTTTTGGGGACCCCACTAGCCACCTACTTCCACCTTTGGAACAATACAGCAGGAGTGCCGCAGCAGCAGCAGCCACTTTGAAGAAGCACTTGAGCGGCTGCCAGCAAAATGTTCCAAATTTAGGAGTATTTTGGATTTCAGATTTCTGAATAAGGGTTAGTCAACCTATACTGCATCCATGTTATCTGAATGCAATAAGGAATTAAATAGATAAATATTAAAAAGCAAGATAGTTGGTAAAACCAGTTTGGACGCAGTGGCACAGAGACTCCGGGGGATGCAGATGTGTGTATGAAAAATGCCCCATATCCCTAGTGCATTTTTACCACCCCTATCCTATCTAACAGCAATAGAAATATCTTCCTTCCTCCAATAAATAAACAATAACACATCCACATTTCACTTTTGGCTATGTAATTTCTTATGCATCAAAAAAGCATATATTAGTTATGATGCAATGATACTGATTAGTTATTGGGGAAAGATATTCCCTCTTTTTTTTCTTGATTTTATTGATATACAATGACTATTTAACACATTGTTTCATTTGAACAAGTCATTTTAACATAATTGTTATATTCAATACTTTTATGATTTAGGACCTCATCACACTTACCAATTTAAGCATCCCATGATGCTTGCCAACCAGTTGGGGGACGGATGGGCATGCAATGTCCCTCAACTTCCGGCAGAGGCCCTGCCCCCAACAGGTATGGAAGCATCCTAGGATGTTTCCTAGTCACCATGGGAATGTTGTGCCGCAGTTGGGAGACACTTCCCCCTTGTGATGGAGGAAACATGGCCACACCACAGTGGTGTGTGGGGTGGCAAAGTCAACCATGTGCCTGCCATTTTGCATGCTTGCTGGTGAAACAGCACTGAGGGAGGGGGCGTGTGATAAGGCCTTTAAGTATGCATTGTGTAAAAATACCATCAATGATGGGCCTTGGGACCCTTTAACACTATAGCACTACATTGCACTTTAACTGCTATGGCAAGATGTCTGGAATCTGGGGATGTACAGTTTCATGAGGGGCATTTAGAATTCCTATCCAGGCAGCAGTAGTGCCGCACCAAATTACAAACCCACAGGATGCTTCCATGGGAGTTAGTGGAATACAACACAACAATTGTGTAGTGTAAATGGCCCCCTGGATTGATGTTAAATCCAAAATATGAGACACCAATAGCAAACACATTTCCACAAAGTTGTCTTTTTCTTTCTTTCTCCCTCCCTAAAGAAGATTTTATTGGCAAGAACAAACTACCAGCACCTCGTCAGCCAGACTTGAAGGGGGGCAGCCCTCCTTCTTTTCTAGGATCTTACTATTTTTGCTATTTGGCAGATACTCATCTCAGAAAGGTTGATTAATTCCCCCCATTCACCCCACCATCACCTTTCTTGTCAGAAAGCCTGTGATCTGAAATTACCTTTCCGGTGAACTTTCATCGGTGGTGCTACTAGTCTGTGCTTTTTGAGCAAATGCCTCCAATCTAGTGATGATTTCCTTTTTGTCCTCATCTGACAGAACGACATTTCCAAACTAAAATAGAGAAAATTGGTGAACACAATATAGATAGGATAATAAATGAATCTACCAGGAAAAAGCTATGCTTCCTCGATACGATCTGCTTGATAAACGCATGCAAGAACCAAGGGACTCCAATACAGCTATATCATCAATTGTATACGAACTTGTTGGGCATTGTTTTTCTTTTTCTTTCAAAGGGTACTTTTTTCTTTCATTCATGTGCCTCTGGATATGGTACCCACACAAGGCTTTATTGACCCATGTAGTAGTGAAAGCCTGTCCCAGCACCAGAGACTGAGAAGCACAGTGAAACGGAATATAGGGGAGTGAAGCAACTCATACTATTAAATTTAAACTATGACATTTTGATTGTATATACTAGTGGTTATCAAAGTGTGTTCCATGGAGCCCTTGGGATTCCACAAAGCATACTGAGGAACTCCAGGCTTCCCTCCCTCTCCAAGCTTACCCCCCCCCCCCGCCTCCCTCACCCCAAGAGCTTTTTTTCTCACTTTCCTTGCCCTCAAAATACTTTTTTCTCACCTCCCTCACCTCCAAAGCCTTTCCTTGCCTACCTTGTTCCCAAAAGCCTTTTTTTCTTCACTTTCCTTGCTGCCAAAAGCACTTTTTCCTCGTCTTCCTCACCGCCCGGATCCTTTCCCCCTCACCTTCCAAAACTCTATTTCCATCCCACCTCTCACGGGATGCTTTGATTGTGCATTTTTTGTATGGCAGAAGGGAGTTGAATTGAATGGCTCCTGGGATTTCTATTTCTATTACTACTACTACTACTACTACTACTACTACTACTACTACTACTATGGGCGCTTTGATTCTGTGTCCCTGCATAGAAGGGGGTTGGACTCAAAGGCCCTTTCAACTCTAGAAATGGGGCTACAAAGTGGAATCCATGACATGCGAGTGTGGAGAAGAGCAAATCACTGACCACTTGCTGCAATGCAACCTGAGCCCTGCTACATGCACAATGGAGGACCTTCTTGCGGCAACCCAGAGGCACTCCAAGTGGCCAGATACTGGTCAAAGGACATTTAATCAACTACCAAGCTTGCAAATTTTGTGTTTTGTCTGTTTGTTTGTTTGTTTTGTTCTGTTAGAAATGTAATACAATTGTCTGGTTGCCCCTGACACGATAAATAAATAACTCTAGGATTCCATGACTATGGGTTTTGTATTTGGCAACCATTAAAATCACTTTTGTTGTTGTTACATACTTCAGCTGGTCCAATGAGCTGCAGGCAGGTTATTAACTGGGGATGGCTGCAGGGAGCAGACAACCCCCCTGTTGAAGCAGCACCACTGGCTGCCAATCTGTTTCTGGGCACAATTCAAAGTGCTGGTTATGACATTTAAAGCCCTAAATGGTTTGAATCCACATTATTTGACTGACCGCATCCCCTTGTACGAACCTGCCTGGGCCCTGAGATCTTCAGGAAAGGCCCTTCTCTTGGTCCCACCTCCATCTCAAGTTGGTGGGAATGCGAGGATGGGCCTTCTTTCTCGGTGGCTGCCCTTTGACTCTGGAACTCCCTGTCCAGGGAAGCCAGAATGCCCCCCTTCCTGTTGTCTTTCTGGCAGCAGGCTAAAACCTTTTTATTCAGACAGGCTTTCAAAGAAAGTTTTTAAGCTCAGTTCAGTGGGTGCTGTGGTTTTGAATTCAGGGGGTGCTGTGGGTGGGATAAGGGGAATATGAGTTTTAAATGCCATTTTAGTATATCTACTGTATTTTGATTTTGTTTTACCACACTGCTACTATTTAATTGCTTTTAAACTTTTATATTGCACGTTCTAAACTTGCTTAGTGTGGTGTGTTAGCCACTTTGAGTGCCCACAGGGAGAAAGGCAGGGTATAAATAAAGATAATAATAATAATAAGTATTACATACCTCTAAGTCATTTCTAACTTATGTTGACTCTTGAGTGAACCTATCAAGGGATTTTCTTGGCAAGATTTGTTCAGGGGGAGCTTGCCTTTGTCTTCCTCTGAGGCTGAAACAGCATGACTTGCCCAAAGTCACCCACTGGGTTTCCATGGCAAAGTGGGGGTTTGAACCCTGGACTCCAAAGTCACAATCCAACACTCAAACCACTGCACCATGCTGGCTGTCATTAAAACCACTCTAACACCTGCCTATTCCATTTTGAAATCATGAATGTCAAATCATTTCTTTGTTTTCCTATGAGTTTCAACTGGTTAGGATCTGCAAATAGAAGAACCTTGTAAACACTCATTCAAAGGCCATAGTGAACTGAAGAATATCAGGCCCAAAACTTCAGATATGTGATGGGTCCTTAGTTTCCTGAGAACCTATCACAGCAGTTCAAGGTTGTGAGATTGCTTTCTTTAACTGAGGAGGATTTGAGTGATGCTATTCTGGATGGAGTGTTGTGATATGTGGGTTTTGGAGGCTGAAATGTTTTTTTTTCTCATCCTGCTTTGGATTCTGATGGAAGCTGGATTTATGTGGCATCACTGACCTTATGATAAGCATCAACAAAACTGGTGTGCTTTGGTATTCTCCGAAGCCTTAGATCGCTGGTATCTGATGTTATCCTGCTTCCTTTCTCTGACCAGAGCTGCACAAGAAGAGAGGGAAATCAAAAAAAGTTAGGGTTAGTAATCCATCAAGTTAATATTTATTTCTGACATGTGAACTCTGCACTTTCTCTAAATTGCAATTGACGGTTTCCAGACCAGCAGACAGGCTGTGGCAAAATTAGATCATGTACCTCCTGACTGCTCTCAGGACATTTAGTTTGCTGGATAATTTTAGCTGAATCCTAAAGTAACCAGCTCCCACCCTGCCCATGGAAGAACCAACACAGGCTGGTAATTTTTTCATCCATTCCCGGCCAAAATGGAAGAGATCTGGAAATGGAAAAGTTTCAAGAACTAGTATTGACTTTAGATTAAGAAGCTATGATTTCTGATACTTAAATGAAACAGTCATCATCATCATTATTTTATCTCCTTTTCTTTCTTTACTATTTATTTATTTACAGCATTTATCTTTTGCCCTTCTCACCCCGCAGGGGACTCAGGGCAGATTACAGTATACACATATATGGCAAACATTCAATGCCAATTTTAACATACAACATATACAGACATAGACAGAGGCTATTTAACTATTTCTGGCCGCCAGGGGAGCTGTCGCTTTCATCGTCCATCTGCGACACTGATGAAGTACTTCTGCATTCCCCGCATGCTTTTTTGCTGGAGTGCTTTGCTGGAGTCTTTTTTATGGCCTCATAAATTAGTTAATTTAGCCTCCCCACACTTTAGGTGGTACCTAATTTTCCTACTTGACAGTTGCAACTGTCTTTCGGGTTGCAAAGGTCGACAACAGGCTACACAACTGGTTGGAAACCCACTCCAACCCGGGTTGGCTTCGAACTCATGACCTTTTTGTCAGAGTGATAATAATGCAGCTGACACTCAGCCAGCTGCGCATTGTGATCCACCCTGAGTTCCCTGCGGGGTGAGAAGGGCGGAATATAAATACTGTAAATAAATAAACAATAAATTTCCTGTTGTATTCAGAGGTACACCACTGACAGATCCATCCTCGATTAATAGGTTCTTTTCCCTTTAAAAGTTATGTAAGATAATGATCATTGTAAAAGCAAATTCAGTACCCAAAGAACATGGTTAACTTTGTTCTAGAAGTTTGAAGGGAAAGGAGAAACCCCATTTGAAAGATATGTCAAGGACAATAACTGGTAACTTCAGGTCATGAGCTGAGCCAGAGGAAAAATAACTCATGGAACAGAAGTCTTCCGTTTTCTCAAAAGAAGAGGTGGAAGAAGAAACATTTGGTGGACAGCGTGCACCCCCTAATGGTCAGAGATGTCAACTGCAATTCTCTGTACTTTTAAAACTGACCCAATCAATAGGTGGCAGTCACCATCTCATCCTGTATGCAGTGTGAAGGGCAGAAAGCAAGAAGGAGGGAGAAAGAATATTAGAAATGATTCAGAGCCATGATTCAGAGCCAACTAATACAAAAGTGTGAGAGAGTGCAAGAATTTGCTCGCATACATGCATGGAGCTGGGGGTGGTGATGGCCAACAGGGAGCTCTGGCATGGCTGGTCCATGAGGTCACAAAGAGTCGGTAGCGACTGAACGAACGAATAAACAACAAATATACATGCCTACATGTGTGTGTAGACCAACAACCATTTTCAGGGTAGAAATAACACTTAATGCAGTTAAGTCCAAAACTGAAAATGAGGTGAAGGAAGAGGGGAGCAGGAAGATCTGCAAACCTGTTGAGTGCTTTGGTTTGCCAAAAAAAATTGATTTCATTTGGCACTTGGGTAGCAGTTCCCCTGCACTGATCACGTACTGTATGTGGGAGTAAGAATATGTAACAAAGGAAGGAAGAACCATTAAAAGCACAAAATATTTTTTTTAACATTAAAAGACAATGTTCCTTATGTAGCAGGTACATCTGGACAGAGTTTCCAGGTCTGAAGCATGAAGAATGTTGTAAGTATGACAAGGATTTTATTTGATTTACAATTCCTTTAATCAAGAGTGCCATGCCAGTCCACTTCCATTCATGTGGGTTTTCAAAAGGCACATTTGAACAGACAGATGGACATTGGGACTGACCCAGCACAGTTGTTCTGGATTGTTGTGTCAACCAGAACAAAATGTTGCAGCATATCCCCTCTCCCAGTTGGAGTTTTTATGGATGAGATCTCTCAACTAGCTAGTCGTGCCATTCCTCAAGCCAGATGTAACATATTATGCTAGGCATGAATAAACTGGACTCTCCAGGTTGTTTTGGATTGTAACTTTCTACCTTTAGTCATGCTGAATAGGGCTGATAGGAGTTTTGGGTTTAATTTTGCCCATCTCCCCTTGAAGTTATTTCCTTTGATGGTCTTAATAAATTATTTTCCTATGTCTAATTAGGGGGGGGGGGGCTGAGAAGAGAAAGCTCCCATTCTGATCTAAATAATTGTTTCTGACTGCTGAAAGGTTCAGGGTTTTTTTTAAATGACATTAGCTGGAAATATGTCAGAATTACTAAGTGCTGGTCTAACAAAGACATATAATGAGAAGGTAGACAGAGAGTCTGCTTTGATAATGACCCTGGTGGCTGACCTGAGAGAGGGAAGGGTTGCACCTCACATCAATGATCTCCCTGCAACAGCAGTGTGTGATGGTGGAGGAATTAACTCAAAGTAAAATTGTTGCCCTTTTTATTTTTACAAAATTATGTCTTTTTTATTTTTACAAAATTACATATTATTCTTACTTTTACGGAAGTGTAAGCATGTTTTTTGAGGATTTGTTCCTGTCATACTGTTTATGCAAAGCGGATTGTTACTATGCATTACTCTCAAATCAATCAGCTCTCTGTCATTAGGATTTTATTTTACCTGACAACTAGCCTGGTTTGCAATTTACAGGAATACAAAACATAATAATAACATCCAAACCAAAAATCAAATCCAGCCAGAAGATTCTTTGAGAAAGGAGAATGGGATGATTGAAGATATACAATCTGGACATCTGCCACCTAAGCATATGGCTTTATTCTGCATAAACTCTCACTTTGTGAACTGAGAATGAAGGCTAGAATGCAGTGGAAAGAGATGTCCATACTCCACCTTTGCTGCCTGGGCAATGGGGGGGGGGGGGCTTGAAAAGACTGTGAGAACTGAAGCCTTTGTCCCTCAGAAACGCCTATCACCCAGACCCTGGAGGAAAATCTTAGCAGCAGCGTGACAGCAGCTTAACAGGACAGGTTAGGGAAGGTGTGCAATCAGATCAAAGAAAAACAGCGCCCTGTCGGAAGCAATTACTTTGGTGTTTTATTCCAGGGAATCTGAACAGAGATGCATGTGGAGCAGCAAATTGGCTGTGTAGAGGGTAGGAATAGGGTGGGGGAAACCAAAGCAAAACCACTTCTCTACCTTTGATCAGGTGCTTAGTTTCACTGCCTGCTCTTGTGCACAAGATGTGGTGGTGAACGCACACCTGAGTTCCCCTCCCAGAGTCATCTGTTAAGCTGAAATGCCTGCAATCTTGAAGGATTTCAATTAAACTCATTCCATCCTCCTTATGCCATAGCCCTTACTAAGCTTAATTATAATAATGGCTGAAATGTGGCTAGATGTGGACTTACATAAGTACACTGAATATGCGAAATGAGTTCTTAAAGATATAAGTGACTCCATCAAAGCCAGGAAAGAAAAGGAGGAGATGTTGCAAAGACTTCAAGGGTGCTTTCAGTGAAGAAAACTGAATCAGAGGAAATTGGCTACTTAGAGCCCTGGTGGGGGGAGGTGTGTGAAGTGAGTGACATTACTGCAGGGTGGCTTATACAAGAGAGCAACCCCCTCCACCCACTTTAACTTGTAACACCGGCAAGTGCTATTAACAAACAGACGGCACCCATCTCGATTCCTTCCAAATCCCTCCTATATTTTTAAAAAAATGTATCTTTGAGCAAGTGGAAGGAAGGTACTCCCATTATCTAAACAATCACTTTCTGAATGACAGGAGAGGCTGGCACGATGACAGGTTGAGAGTATCCCTAATCTGAAATGCTTGGGATGTTTGGGGTTTAATATGTGTTCAAATTTTGGAAGACCCACATTTGCATTTGCATACATAATGAGATATCTGGCCAAACGTAAAATTCATTTATGGTTCATATATACCTTATACATGTAGCCAAAAGTTAATTTTATACAATACAGTAGAGTCTCACTTATCCAACATAAATGGGCTGACAAAACATTGGATAAGCGAAAATGTTGGATAATAAGTAGTGATTAAGGAAAAGACTATTAAACGTCAAATTATGTTATGATTTTACAAACTGAGCACCAAAACATCATGTTTTTCAACAAATCGACAGAAAAAGCAGTTCAATACACGGTAATGTTATGTAGTAATTACTATATTTACGAATTTAGCGCCAAAACATCGCAATGTATTAAAACAGCTGTGGATCCGGGCAGGAGGCAGACTGCACTGGATAATATAAAATGTTGGATGAGCAAAGGTTGGATAAGCAAGACTCTACTATTGTATTTTGAGTGGTTTTGTGTATGAAAAAAAGTTTATGTATATTGAACTACTATAAAGCAAATGTGTCAGGAAATCCATGTGGACAATTTTGGATTTTGGAATATTTTGGAATCTGGAATTCCAGATAAGGATTGCTCAACATAATTCCTCGGTGAAACTGGAAATACCTTTCGTTTTTGGAACATGAAGTCCAAGTTGCTCACCTATATTTATATAATATCACAAAGCACACATGTGTAAGCAAGACCAAAAACATCTGCTGCCCCAACTGCCTTTGCTCCAGAGCTGGAGGCAAAAGTGGTCCTTTGCATTACCATTCCCAGAATCCCAATGTCAGCATGGCTACTGCAAGTTACCATCCAAAAAAGTAACTTTCTCCTGGCTCTGCTCATGTAAAACCTTTCAATCCGTTCAAAAGGAGGTTGTGGGACTGCCTAAAACCCTCCTCTCTGAAATAGTTTCTCAAAAACAACAAAAAACCTCAGGTCCTCTTTTAGGGGGAGCAACAAAGACTCAACACTAGGGCTCAGCAGCCTTACTGATGTTGGTGGACTCTGTACTATTTCAGATGACAATCATGACTGAACATTCCCATATACAAAAAAGAACAAAAATATGTTCACATGTGGAGGAGGAGCTTTTAACCTAGTCTGCTCTACAAAATGGTGATAGAGAGGGCAAGAAAATTGTAAAACAGGATTCTCATAAATATCAGTAATCAATCAGCTGGATTTTTCATCGAGATTTGCTACTTAGAGGGTATAATTAACTGGGCTGGTTCCCAGTTAGCTTCAGGGCCCAATTCAAAGTGCTGATATTGATCTTGCAAGCCTTAAATTAACTAGGGACATCAGGACTAGGAATCTAAATCCTCAGCTATTTTATTCTTTCATGCAATAACAAAGCATTATGGTAAGTTTTTTCCCTCACTGTAAGATAAAACAAATATTCCTCTGAAGTGTTCTCCCCATTATTCAAATACCCCAAAATATTCTGTGAGAATTATTCTGAAGATGGAAACTAATGGGAAAAACAGCATTTACTGTGGGGGAGAAAAATTGCACAGAAAACAGGATTGTCACACAAAAAATGCAGAGAATATTCCCCTTCCAACACTTCAGGATATTCAAATACTGGCAGAAAATTGCATGCATTTTCTACCTGACAGGGCTTCTCAGGTGGAAAACTCTTTCCACCTGGGAACAAATATACATTCTTTCCATCCCTAAACTGGACTGCCTTTCCCAAATGTGTTTACTAGCCAGGCTGAAATCTGAGACTTTAGTTCATGAATTGGCAAAGTAGTGGCTGAGGGCTGCTCACAATCTCCCTGTAACCCTGGGCCATTTGTGTGGTCCACAGGGATAAAAACCATTTTGCTTCAAAATTATTATTTTTATTTACTTATTTTTATCCCCTTTTCTCCCATGGGTGGAATTCAAAGCGGTGTACATGGCTAAAACAGCAAAAATACAAATAACATTATTTTTTTTTACCAAAAACATCATAAACCAAATGAACACATAACACACAATACATATCAACATTTAAACAAATCAATAAGTTAAAATGTATATCATTAAAATTCCCTAAAATTCCCAGGCTACTGAGGTTTTTCTATAAGAAACTGGTATCCAGATCGGAGAAGTACTAAGCGACTTTATCAGCAAAGTGCCACATAAATTTTTCACAATGCACCACTGAGTAGTCAGAGATTATGGGGTCAGATGTAAGAGATTCCTGAGTACTCGGAACAGCTTAGAAAAGCAGTCCTTTGCAGATGCAATGTTGGAAGCTATGTAAGCCTTTTCTGCTGCCACCATTGCCATGGAATAGGTTCTTAAATAGGCTCTATCCTGTGCTTAAATAGGCTGTATCTCATGCTCGGTTAGATTCGCCAATGACGCCCCAGCCTCCATCACCAAATGCCCTTTAGATGGCATGGTAAGCTTTTTTTTCCAGTTTAAATAGATTTTAAAATCCAATAGGGATTGAAATAGAAATTTCTTATAGAAATAAAGCTACTTTTTTTCACTTTCTGCTGTTTTACTCAGCATCGGGATTGTGGCGCAGCTGGCTGAGTGTCAGCTGCATTAAGATCACTCTGACCAAAAGGTCATGAGTTCGAAGCCAGCCCGGGCTGGAGTGGGTGTCCAGCCATTGTGTAGCCTGTTGTCGACCTTCGCAACCCAAAAGACAGTTGCATCTGTCAAGTAGGAAAATAAGGTACCACCTTGTGTGGGAGGCTAAATTAACTAATTTATGAGGCCATAAAGAAAACTCCGGGGAATGTGGAATGCGGAAGAACTTCATCGGTGTCGCTGATGGACGATGAAAGCAGCAGCTCCCCTGGCGGCCAGAAAAAAAGTTAAATAGCCTCTGTGTCTGTATTCGTTGTCTGTCAAACTGGCATTGAATGTTTGCCATATATGTGTATACTGTAATCCGCCCTGAGTCCCCTGCGGGGTGAGAAGGGCGGAATATAAAAACTGTAAATAAATAAATAATTAAAAAAATTAAAAAGCATTTTTCCTTGGCCTAAAGACCCAGGAGAAGCCCCACTCCAACAAAGGTAAAATACAATTCATGCCCTTTAGAGGGCATTTGGGAGCAAAGGATTTTTTGCAGTGAGGATATGGCATGGATGCATCTCTCCAGGATCTTCTTTGGGAGGCTAAAGTTGTTGCATGGTCTTCCATAGTTACTCACCACTGCTCTAGACATTAGAATCTGGTCCAGAGCTTTCCAAATTGTGTGTCACAACACGTTAGTGTGTTGGCTGCAGTGTGTAGGTATGCCACACAAAAATAACAAGAAATGGCAAAATAATGGAAACATATAATCATCTTACAAATCATATATTTAAAAACATATAAATGAAAGTTTTTCATGAGATACTTTGTGTTCTCATTGGTTTCATTATTACAATTTATATGTGTGTCTGTATCTCTTATAAGGGGTTGGTGAAACCTTAGGTTTGCTAATAAAACTGAATTACCGTGTCTCGAAATGATGCATGTTTGGAGAACTCTGATCCAGTCCATGTTCTTGAGCACTGCAACCATAGATGTGTATTTATGTGCTGCCATGGGTGATCAAATATACATGTCTTTTCAGTCATAGCACAGCTTTCTGGAAAATACTCGCAGTGATGGTCTGCTCATTCGGTCAAGGCTCTGTTTTCATAGCTTGATGGAAACCTTTCTGTTATGAAAGGTTATAGAGTAAATACACATCAATATATTTACCGTTGCAACTGTTACTGGTATAATGGGATGGTTTTGTCAATATTGATCCTATGTTATATTGAGCCCTTGTTCTGCATTTCTTTTTTAAAAAATATTTCAAATGGTTTTTCCTTTTTCTTCACTTGCAACTGTTCTATTGTTAGCCACCAGACAGGAGCACCAGGCCAAGGCTGAGAAGTACTGCAAGTAAATAGAGATACACCTCTCCCAGCCTTTTTGAGGCTTCAGTGTCTCACTCTCTACAGTGGTAAAAATGGGAGGATTGGATGAAAATTCAATATTCTCATTTAGAAAGGCATTGCACCCATTATGCCTTATCCCCATTCCCCCCAAATAGCTGGTAAAAAAGCTACTTGTGTTCTCTAAATTTAAAATAAATACATGTGCTAAGTACAGAATATATTTATATGCATGATTGTTGTAGGTTTTTTGGGCAGTATGGCCATATTCTAGAAGCATTCTCTCCTGATGTCTCACCTGCATCTATGGCAGGTATCCTCAGAGGTCGTGAGGTCACAACCTCTGAGGATGCCTGCCATAGATGCAGGCAAAATGTCAGGAGAGAATGCTTATAGAACATGGCCATATACCACGAAAAACCTACAACAACCCAGTGATTCCGGCCATGAAAGCCTTTGATAATACATATTTATATGAAGTTCCCTGTATTAGAAAATATAAAATTTAGCTCCTACCTCAAAGACCTCACTTGCTAATTCTCCCAGTACCACTGTAGAGTCTGACTTGGCTGACAGATTCCTCAGTGTCTTCTCCAAATGCAGAACATGCAGTCTTGATTTTATGAGTTGATTTTCCAGGTCTTCCATCTCCTTTTCAAAAGGAAAAATAAAAGAGGATGGGATGTGTTAGATGGATCTGAGATTTAATCAAGAAAGTTATCTATTTTCCTGGTATAAAGCTTTTCTGCTGACATTAAGTCCAGTTGTGTCCAACTCTGGGGGTTGGTGCTCATCTCCATTTCTAAGCCGAAGAGCCGGCGTAGTCTGTAGACACCTCCAAGGTCATGTGGCCAGTATGACTGCATGGAATTTCCTCTCTTGAAGATTCTTCCAAGGGACATACATATTTTAAAATTATCATTGTTTTGCAGTATTGTACTCATGTGCAATATAAGTGTTCTCGATTTATGACAAAAATCAGAGAATCATATGATATCTTGAACTCAAGATGTTAGAATATTATTACTATGCATTCCTACTATGCATTAAATCAAATAAGTTCAATCAACCCATGCACATTTACACAGTAAAAGTCTCATTGAATTAACTGGGATGTATACATGACTGTGCACTTAAATTTCACACAAAATTTTACAAAAAAATTAGTGATGACATGGTTTATGAACTCTTCTTTAAAAATCACTAAGGCAGCTAAAATAGTCAACCTATTTATTCTGGATATTAATAAAAAATCTCTTACTGTCAGCTACCCATACGACTATATATTTTCTACCTTGCACACTCTAACTGTTGCACTGCTCCTTATTCATAAGGAAAAAGACAATTATAAACTAGCTCTCACTGAACTGGTAAACCTGTGCTGAGTTGCATCACTCCAGATTCAGGTGGGGAATCACATGATTAAGTTCTCCCCGTTTAAGAAGTGGAACCATTTTCTTTGTGGGACAATGATGAGTAATGCCATTCATTTGGAAGTTTAGTAATTTGCAAGTTTCATTGAGGTATCTGGTTGACCACAATGGGAAACAATGCCAGATTAGACCAAAGCTTGAGGAAGCGACTATTTGGAGAACAACTCCCAGAAGATTCTGGGAGATAACATTCCCAAAAGTAGCCTTTCTAAGCTCTCTTTTTGACTTAGCAGGGTTGTTCTTATGTTATTTCCTTCTACGTATATCCTAGCATCTAAGCCCTGGTTTTTAGGATGATAAACAAAATAAATGTCTCCAAGTAAAAACAACAACCCCTAACCGTTTGCCTGAAATCAACACCTTGATGAAAACAAATAATATTTTACACAATTTTTGTCTGTGGTCTGGTCTAGTTTTCAGGATCTCAGTTTGTTGGCCTGGGACTCTGTAAGCCTGTGTTTGCATGTGTTTGTGACACTTCAGATTGCCAAAGATGAACAGGTACTCGCAGTTAGCATCATCTGTTAGGTATTCACCTTCTTGTGGTCATACTTGGCAACTTTCAGTTCATTGTTCAGTTGATCAACTTCTTTTTGAAGGGCAATTTCAACTGGGCTTCTACAAAACAAGAACAGAAAATAGACTTCTTTCATTTCTTAACTGTGTCCAGAGAGAGGGAGAAAAGAAGCCTAACAGCAATAAACCCATAAATTGGCCAGGACTTCTGAGGGGCAGTCCAGACAGCGGGCATAGTGGTTTCAACCTGTGCCTTTCAAGAAGGTATGGATCAAACCCACTATCAAATTAATTTGCTAAAAAGCAGAGTTTTACTGCTTTGTGATAAATGCAATTGCTTTTCTGTGGGACATCATCTGGACATCCACTTGAAGAAGCGGAATGGCATGCATTTTAGGCCTGTCTGGATGGGCCCCCAGTCATTTTCTTTGCATACTAAACATGTTAACTTCCTTAACCTTTCCTCATGATCCTTTTTCCAGACATTTTATTATCACAGTCTTGATCCTCTAAACAGATTTCAGGACCTCAATATCCTTTTAAAATTGTGGTGCTGGAACAGGATACACTACAGTATTCCAGATGAAGTCTTATCAAAACAGAACAAAGTGTTTTGCTTGATCGGAATGCTACTAGTCATTTAACCTAGAACTGCATTTGATTTTTTTCTGCCACATCATACTGTTGACTAGTGTCATAGATTGTTTTCACCCATACTACAGCCAAGAGAAAGATATGTATTTTCAAATGAAACAGGGCACACAGAATCCCTACCATTAGCTGGTTTCTTTTGATTACATACACACAGCAATAACCAACAGGGTTAATATTCAACTTTAGAAACACACATAGCATGCATATATGATAACACATTATACAAACTGCCATGCACAGACAGAATCCAAGCCACTTAGTATGTAAAATTCATAATCCCATATTAACTAGATTCAGACAACGCCTGGGATCACCTATGAAATTCAAGATGAAAACTACAACTTTCATCATCTCCCCCATTTGCTAGGTTGATTAAGACTGGTGACAATTACACAAAAACAATTTTACAGGACCATAAGTTTCTAGGATAAAGTTTTTAGTGGCTATAAATTAACTACCTCTGTCTTACACTAGATGCATGGTGCTTGTTGCAATCCATGAAAGGATTACTTTGAGATAATCTGCCTGAATTTTCTCTTGAGTTAATACTGTTGATTAGCATGCTGGGTCACTAGAAGAGTCTGCTGAGAGTGTTGGCAGTCCACACCTCTCACATAATCACTGCTGGACTTTTAAGAACAACATGCATGCGTGATAGAAACATTGCTCCATTGTGTGAGATGACTTACATTTGGAAAACTACACAGAGCACGATATTAAGGAGCAATATTAGAAAATGAAGGGTGCATCTACAGTGGAGAATTGATGCAGTTGGACACAACTTTAACAGCCCTAGCTCAATGCTATGGAATTGTGGGAACTGCAGCTTTACCCTTCTCTGCCAAAAAGTGTGGGTGCCTCAAAAACCGCTGGACTAATTGCCACCAAATTTGGCCACAAGTCACCTACTAACCCAAGGAGTGACCACCACTCAAAAATTGATTTTGTTATTTGGGAGTTGTAGTTGCTGGGATTTATAGTTAACCTACAATCAAAGAGCATTCTGAACTCCACCAAGGATGGAATTGAACCAAACTTGACACACAGGACTCCCATGACCTACAGAAAACACTAGAAGGGTTTGGTGGGCATTGACTTTGAGTTTTAGAGTTGTAGTTCACCTACATCCAGAGAGCACTGTGAACTCAAACAATGAAGGATCTAGACCAAACTTGGTACACATACTCTATATGCCAAAATATGAACACCGATAGAGTTTGGGGGAAATAGATCTTGACATTTGGGAGTTGTAGTTACTTGGATTTATAGTCTACCTACAATCAAAGAGATTTCTGAACACCAACAACAGAATTGGGCCAAACTTCCCACACAGAACCCCCATGACCAACAGAAAATACTGTGTTTTCTGGTGGTCTTTGGCAACCCTTCCGACACCCCCTCGCGTCCCCCCCAGGGGTCCTGAAACCCCAAGCTTGATAAATGCTGCCTTAAGGCCATTCAGTCCAAATCCCTTCACCAGGGCAAAAAAACATAATCAAAGCCTTCCAGCCATAGATACAGATATATATGATTCATACACACACACACACACACACACACACTTATATGTATATGACAGCTATAGTATCAAAGATTTGAAAGGGAGCCCTAAAGAAGGACAATTATATGTTGCATGTTCCAGAGTAGGCAAACCATACAATCTCTACATTGACACTGACAAACAACAGGAAATATTTACCCATAATGTTTACCCATAAGCTTAAAGAAATTACATATATTAGAAACTCACACTTTCTCATTACTTTGTTTTCCAGATCACCAGACTGGGCCACAGCAACGCATGGCAGGGGATGGCTAGTTATATATAAAACACTGATACAAATGAAAAAAAGGATGAGGAAGCTTACGGTGAGAAAAATAATCTTGTTAAAATGCCCTTGCTTTTATTATGTTCCTATATACTACAGCCTGCAAGAATAACGTATTCCCAGAAAGCACATTCAGTGGTCTTGCAATAGCTATATGGATCCTTGGTTTATCATATGCAGTTTCAACGAGATGTATAGGTTTGAATGTTGGACCAGGATTCCAAGAGACTAGTGTACAAATCCCTGTCTTGCCATGAAAACACACTGAGGGAGTCACACTCTCCCAAGAGGGAGTTAATGGAAAACCTCAGTTGAATAAATCTTGCCAGGATGAATAGGAAAGCAAATATTTTTTGAATTTACTTGATTGGACTGTTGCATTATTGGTTCATTACATAAATATTGTTGGTGTCAGAGAATAGAAGCAATGAATTATATGTTACTTAATTACTTCTAATGAGTTGCCTCTTGGGATAGAAGGTACCAACATAATGAGTAAAGACCACGTAACTTTATTGGTATAATAAGTTACAATTTCTATTTGTTTCCAAAAGGTATTTAGAGGCACTTCAACATAATGTTTCAAGTTTTCTGTCACTCATATCATTTCTATTGCACATAACAGCAGTGAAAGCTTTTCACAGTACAGAAATTAGGAATAACCTTTTAATATCTATAAGTCAAGTCTGTGAAAATTCTGGGAGTAGGGTCTGCTAAAAATGCATACTAGCAGTACTATTTGGGAAAATTCTTAAAACAATAATCAAGGAATGTCGGAATATGGTGATCTTGCTTCTTGATTTGGATCTCAAAATAATTACTTCCCACAGAGTTATTAAAAGAGGATTTTAGAAGTAGCACAATATACATATGTATCCTGTAATCCTAACCTTAAAGAGCAATAGACGCTGTGACTCTCCTTTGCTACATGCAGCTTATTCATGTCCTGGATGACCAAGTTTGAACGGGCAGCAGCATACTTTTGTTCCTTTTGGTTACCCCACAGAGAGAGAATGGCATTATTTGACCAAGAACCCATGAAGGGAAATTGAAGCAAAATATTCTCTTCCATGATCTAAAAGAAGGGGAGGGAAGTATGGCTGTCATTGAAGACCTGAAGGGCCTGGACCCCAACGTTTTTGAATTTTTCTTTTCCTCAAAATGACCACTGCATCTACCCTGAGGAGTGTGAAGCAGTTCTGCCTCTCTAGCCTATCTGTTTTAATACCAGGAGAGACGTTTTTAAAAACAGGAAGTAAAACATGTTTTAACAGATTTGAAACATTTGCCGTATTTCCGGCATATAAGATGACTGGGCATATAAGACAACCCCCAACTTTTCCAATTAAAATATAGAGTTTGGGATGTTGTAAGAGGGGTAGCCGTATAAGGCTACCCTCTTACAACACACACCAAATAAAAACTTTAAAAGCATCAGATTTGATTTCAATATGGTAATTTTCCTATTACCACACATCTTTCTCTGCCTCTCAGATCTCACACATGCATGTTTGCGCCACTTCACTGCAGTCCTCAGGAGCGAGATCTGAGAGGCAGAGAAGGAGGTATGGTGATAGGATACAAGGGCGGGCCAGACGGGTGAAAGAGGTGTGTTTTTCTGGGCACAGTGTTGTTCTATCCCTTTTTTCTGGACACCTGCAGCTTGCTCCTCCCTTCACTTACACCTTCCTGGTGAGACGCCCCCTCACCTTGTCGTCGGGACCGCGTTAAGTCATTTCTTTCCCCGAATCCTGGTGAGTGGATTTTCTTCTACTGTACTTGTACAGCGCTGCCCTTGCAGCTTTCATACTGCTGCTGCATATGGCGGGGATGCATTCACAGCCATTTTTGAGCTCCTCCCACCATATGCGGAAACGCTAGATTCTCTAGTCCGGGTTGGGAGTTTCAGCACCTGCCCTATAAGATGACTCCCGACTTTTGAGAAGATTTTCCTGGGTTAAAAAGTAGTCTTATATGCCAGAAGATGCAGTAATAATCATGTTTGGACTGTATGGCTGCTGCATATAATCCTTCAAGTCTAATAAAGTGAAAAGACGTTAATGTGTTGTTATTGATGTGTCATTTTGTATATTATGCTGTTAATGGTTTTTAAATTTTGTATGCTGTTGGATTGACTTTTGCTCTTGTTGTAAACCGCGTTGAGTCGCCTACAAGGCTGAGAAATTGCGGTATACAAGCAAAGTAAATAAATAAATAAATAAATAAAAGGAAGCCCCCGCACCTTGGAAAATTGCCCATCCCTGCTTTAAAGAACAAATGCCAACAGAACTGACAATGCTTTTTGCTGGAGGAGAGACTTAAACCAACAACAACACATAAGCAGATCAAATACTAAGTGAAGCTTACACCTCTTAAATCTTGGCCTAAGTTATAGCAGAACAGAACACGTCACCTGAGATATTATCTGTAAGAAGCAGAAACTCTGTTTTCTTTACACCTCACATCAAATCAAAAGTACAAGTATTCACTTCTAACATCACACATGATGGATAACAAAGCCATCCTACCCTTCATGTTTTGATCTATGGATCCCATTGTCAACCTTTTAAATAAAGAGCTATCACAGTTAGGAAGTGCTACCAAAACCACTGTCACATGTCAAAATAAACTCTCTGTACCTTGCAGGACTTGATAGTCTTACTATGGTGTAGGCATGGTACTGATTCTATCATTACAAACCACCTCAACAAAACTAAGTTGGTTATTTAAGGAATTATTTACTGGAGGGAACAATCCTTTCCCTCCAATAAATTTTCAACAGCTTTTACATTTCTCTCTCTCTCTCTCTCTCTCTCTCTCTCTATCACCTATTGTCTTATTATCTCATAGCAACCCTATGAGTTTTCATAGAGTTTTTAAAGCTAAGAAAAGCAGAGTAGTGGCTTGTTTTCGCCTTCCTCTGAAACAGAGCCCACAACACATGTTATTCATTGGTGAATCCTTGTGCACAATTAGCCTGTATCCTAAACGAAATCTCTCATCATCAGCATTTCTACAGTCATCTTTAATTACTTATTCTTGTTATTTTCATCTTTACACCTTGGCAGTCTCTGTTGTGTTTTGTAATTTAGGGTTGATCCCAGGATATTGATAATCTCTTAATCTACTAATGATGTTTTCAGTCTCACCTCAAGAAGAGATGTTGGAAGAATGTCGCTTCCTACAAGCAGATCCACCCAGCAACACCTTCTTCAACCACCACTGGTTTTTGTACCTCCTGAAACACATCTTCTAACATGATGATCATGGTCCCATTTTGTCACCTGCCATTCAACATGACCTACTTTTGTATGGGTTTGTGTGTGAATGCATTTCTGTATGGGTTTTGGATTGAATACATTCTCCAATTTTGCACAGCTTACTGTTACTCACTTCTTTGGTGGACCTTTCTCCTTTGACCTCAGAAGCTCATCCAAAATCCGGCTCAGATGATTAAATTGCTCTTTCTGACCAGCACGTTTCAAGCCTTTGATTTCTAGATCCCTCTGATGCAGCAACAGGAGAAGGGTACGTGGGTCTTCCATTAGTTTGGGGTTTTGCTGAAGAGAAGAAGATTTCCTGGAACTGAAACAAAACACCATGATACAACCACAGGCAGGCAGGCTGAAGGTCTATGGCAGTGGTTCTCAACCTGGGGTCCCCAGATGTTTTTGGCCTTCAACTCCCAGCTGGTAAACTGACTGGGATTTCTGGGAGTTGTAGGCCAAAAACATCTGGGGACCCCAGGTTGAGAACACTGGGATCTTCTTTCTGTTTCATATGTGTGTTGTAGTCCAATGGAAGAAGTGCAGTACTGTGATTCAAGCCAATGGGAATATATGTTAAGAATCAAAGGAAAAGACCGCTTCTATGCATGTATCCAGCCAAGGAATTTGTGACCCACACTAGAAACAAGCTCACAAACCTTTTTACACAAACCTCCACTCATTATCCCCCCCCCCCCCCCCCCCCCCACACACACACAGTTTTTTCTTCAGCAACCAAAGTTGATCAGGCAAAGTGGGTGTTGTTTATCATAAACCATGCTGGTCTGTTGCAAATAACCTTGAAAAAGAACGAACAAGTCTTGTGGCTCCTTAAAACCTAAGCAATTCATTTCAGCAAGAGCTAGGTATTTGCTAGTAGATCCCAATTTATTTTCTGCCCTCCCCTGTTCAGAGAAGGCCTCTCAGTCTTACATAATAGGAAAGCTAATATGTGAATGGCTGATGACAATACACTTGCTTTTTCAAACAATTGAAGCAGTTTGAAAGAGGGGTTGGTGTTCATAGTTTGCAAGTTTCCTTTGTACGGGTATCTTGATTGGTTTTTGCATTGTTTAAAAAAGTTATGTCCAGATAGTGCAGTGAATTGTTCAGACAGTTATTGCCAATGAATTCTCAATTTTGTATCTGATCACAAGTGATACAAGACAACGAGAGAGAATATTTCTTTTGCTAGCTACTCTCCTCTTCACACAATATTCCGTTCTCCCTCCAGTTGGATCTGTACGGCAATAAATCTTTCATGAGAGTCAGGAGGTTTCCAGTTCAAACCTGTCATTCTCCTCTCCATCAGTCAAGAATCCTTACTCTTTGTATCCATCTTTTCTGTACCACTATCACTAAGATTCAATCTGAGCTCCATACTGACACATTGCTATCTAGAACTATTCACTGCATGTTCCTAATTCTCACCAGTAGTAAAGTGAGTGAACAGCATCATAGAATCATAGAGTTGGAAGAGACCCCGTGGGCCACCCAATATAACCCCCTGCCAAGAAGCAGGAAAATCGCATGCAAAGCACTCCTGATAGATGGCCATCCAGCCTCTGCTTAAAAGCCTCCAAAGAAGGAGCCTCCACCACACTCCGGGACAAAGAGTGGTGCTCACATCGCATTCACCTCTGCATAGGAAAATATGCATAGATATCAGAGAGCAGATTTCTAGCCTGACTCTATCATTAACATCTAAGTTTTTGTGCACAGGTAAATAGTTAATTAGAACTGGAGGAAGAATACTCAATTATATGAACCCCCACTTCTAGCATAAAATTGAATAGTCCACATTCTTCTTTACTACCACTGTGACAACTATGTCATGGTTCACTAGTATTGTATAGACTTAATATTGACCCAGTATGGAGTAATACCTACAGGTATACTGTTTCTAGACATCAGACATCATGTATGAAAGTAAAGGTTGTTCCTAATGAAGTACAGCCAAGCGGACACGTGAGCCCTGTAGCAGGGAAATCGGGACTTATGGACTTATTTTCTTTAAGTCAAAATGATGAATCAAATAACTCATATATATTGAATTCACATTTATTTCAAATATTGTTATACGTTTTATCTTTCAAAAACCTCAAAATGCCCAACTGTATCATCTTGAACCTGTGAAGTAAACAATTTCTGTGAAGTAGCCAGTGTTGTATGGTGGTTTGAGTATTGGTCTAAGACCCTTGGAGATCAGGGTTTGAATGCCATGGAAGCTCACTGCCTGACCTTGGGCAAATCACAGCCTCATAGGATGGAAGGAAGAAGAACCTCTGAACATATTTTGCCAGGTAAAGCTCCATCATAGGTTTGCCTTATGATCGCTACAAATCAGAAATGACCTGAAGTCACACAACAACAATAATTGCTATCCTATTTAAAAAAACACAAAACACTCAAGGTATATTCCATGTATGTGAGGATATTTTCCCCTCTTGTTTGAGGTAACCTTTGACTTGCCCACAGCTACCTAGATTAAGTGAACCCAGTAACATGTTAAATACTGTATCAATTGTCTATTACGCTACACCAACTCAGACTTAGGGTGCATCTTGATGCGGCAGGTTCCGCAATCCTTACCCAGTGTGGGCTTCTCTGGATCAGCATCATGGGAGGCTACACTGGTTGCCCCTAAGCTCAGGAGGTGCATGGTGACTGCATGGGCAAGTGGTGCTGAAATCTGTTCAGCCCCACTCACCTGCCACCTTTACCATGCCCCCCTCCCTTATCCTACCTTGGTGGTGTCCACTGGGCATAAAAATGGTAGCAGACACTGCTTGTTGCCTGGAATAACAATATTCACCATGTTGATAGAGAGGGGGAGAGGAGGGATCACCCCCCTCTCCAAACTCTTTATCATGCTAGATATCACTCCAGCTGCTAAGCACTCCAGGTGCTTGCCATTTTTGTGCCCAATGGACATCACCAATATAAGGTCAAGGGCAACAAGGTAGGTGCCATCACCTCCCTTTGGGCTTCCTGACTACAGGGACAACAGGGTGGCATGTAGCTGGATATGCTGGAGTTTTGGGAAAGCTTCTGAGTATCCAGTGATTTCTGTTAACACAGGTCAAGGTTGCATTAAATGTCCTTGGCTTGTATTGCACTGAAGCAGCTCCATGAATAATGTAACAGTCAAGGAGCCGATCCAGTGTTCCTTCACCTCAAGATACAAGTAAGGATATACTGTATCCCATGTGACCACAGGATAATAGCAATATTCTGCCTCCCAGGACCACTGTTGATAAATATTCCTTAAAATAATCCTTAAAGCAGTGGTTCTAAACCTGTGGGTCCCCAAGTGTTGTGACCTACAACTCCCAGAAATCCCAGCCAGTTTACCAGCTGTTAGGATTTCAGGGAGTTGAAGGCCAAAACATCTGGAGACCCACAGGTTGAGAACCACTGATATAGGGCCCTTTCACACAGCCATATAACCCAGTATATCAAGGCAGGAAGTCCCACAATATTTGCTTTGAACAGGGTTTTCTGAGGCCAGATTCAGACAGGCCTTTATCCCAGAAGCATCTGCGTAAAAAAAAAACATGGATGTTTCTGGGGGCCTGTCCACACCCATCCCAGAAAGTGTGCAATTTCTGGAGTGGGTGTCCAGACATTCTATCAGGACTAGCCCAAGAGAATGTGCGGCGGCCCTACCCCCCTTCTCCCAAGCCCCCAGACCCCTTAGAAAAGTAATGAAAACGTATGTGGCCTCCAGTAGAAGCCTTGATCAGCTCTCCCAGCATGTAGAAATGACATGCTAGGAGAGTGGGAAGTGGAGTGATTCCCCCCCCCCCCCCCGCTCTCCTGGTGCATCATTTCTATGCTCTGGGAGAGCTGGCCAAAGCTTCTAATGGAGGCCACATAAGTTTTTACTTTTCTAAGGGGGCTTGGGGCTTGTGGGAGGGGTCGGTATTCCCACAGTTTACTGGGCTTATTTAGCCTGATAAACTGTAAACTGTGCAGTCCAGAGCCGGAAATAGTGGGTTTATCCCACACCTTCCATGAAGGAGTGGAATAAACCCATTATCTAATTAATTCGCTACAAACCAGGGTTTTCCTGGTTTGTAGCGAATTGATTCGGGACTGTCCACAATAAAGGTCCTGAGAGAACCAAGGGACGGGCCCAGAGAGAACCAAGTTGGTAGCATAAGCTTTCATGGACTCATCACCCAAGGAACAATGATACCCCAAATAGATGTAACTACATTCACCTTTATTGTTAATGGTTGTGTACTGTCATCGTCCCGTCCACCCCCACTCCAACCTGTATATACATCTCTCTGTTCTTTCTCTTTTCTCATTTGCCCTATTTTTTCTTGTGTTTTGTTTTGCATCATGTCAGTTTCTCTTGCCTCCTAAAACCTTTGACTTTCCATATGTTGTACTAATTGCAGCTTGTCTGCTATTCAAGGTTGTGTTCAACAGCCTCCAATTTCTTATCCTCTCTCCTCCTTTTCAATACTCTAGGGGTCAGCTTTTTTGGACCGAGTAAGCAAGGATTCCTGTAACATCTTGGTTCCTCTAACATTGAGAGGTTCTTCTACCTGTTCCCATCTGTTTTTCATTCCTTCTGCTTGATCTCACAAACAGCAACATTTAGTTGTCTTGCTTGTGTTAAATATCTCCTGGTTGCCATGGTTGAGCAAGAAACCTAAATAGCAGAGACAGTCAGCTTTGCTTGGTTGTTACAGACAAATAAAAGGATGGAAGAAATTACTCATCTTCTCCTCTTCCATCAGAAATAATAAGTGCATTTCTCACTTTATACCGGAGATTATAAACAAGGAAGGAAAAGGAACAAGGCATTTACAAGCAAGCTCCTGCTGGTGTTCTAGATAAATTGACCTCATGTTGTTGTGAGTCAGCATTCTGACACCATACCTACTACTAGTAGTAGGAGAAGAAGAAGGAGTGATGCAGAAACAGAGGAGAATCAGCGTCAGCTGAAACGTATTCGTGACATCTTTCTGGCTCCCAGTGATGAAGAAGACTTTGCAGGATTCAGGCCAGAGGAGGCTATGGAAGCAGATTACAGGGGAGTGAAGAGAGTGGCTAGTGATTCTGGCAGTGAGAGTGACACTATGTCTAAGAGGCTTAGAGACACAGCAGATAACTCCAGTGATAGTGAGGATGAGTTGGAGGAGGCTGTAGACTGGACTCTGGTTCAGAACATTAGAGACATTTGCAATCAAGCAACATCAAGTGATGATTTTGAAGGTTTTAGGGATAATGGGAATGAGAGTACTGATTGGCAGGATCAGGCACTAGAGCAAAGGTGGCAGGCTTGGCGTGGTGTAGATGCTTCAGCTGTGGGAGCAGAATCAGATGCAAGCAATGAATCTCATTCTTCTGATAGTGAATAAAATGAGCACTCTGGGACCTATTCCTTTGCAGACGACAAAGTGTTGTTTCGTGCCTAATCTTGTTTTGGATTCCCAGTATCCTGTTTTCCCTGCCGTGCTCCGGACCTTGGAACCTTTGCTCGTGAGTGTACATCTGGCTTCTTGACCCTTGGAACTGACTGACTACGCGTTTGCCTACCGGATTTTGCTCCATGCCTTGCAACCCTTAAAGACTGTTTTGTTTTGTATTCTGCTCCTAGTCCATCGTATCTCTTGTTATTTCTTGGCTGCAATTCAAGCCTGCTTATCTAGCATTTTGTGTTCCTGTTTGAAAACATCCTTTGAACTGTTTGCACTGACTCTTAAAGTGCCTCATTTAGTTTGTTTTGCATTAAAATACTACTATTTTGCACCTCAACTGCTGTTTAAGACATTCTGTGTTCTGTGGGTCACGACACATGTATTCATCGAGGACAAGTCTTAGGGCCAAAATTATGCTCTATAGATAAATTGAGCATGAAACTTCGAGGCAAATAACAAACACATCTTTCCCCCTCTTTTTAAAAATCCACAGAGGGAACATACTTAGGAGGAGCAATTCCTTCATAACTCACCGTTCCTTTGCTGATTCAAGTAGGGAAGAGTTGGAGACATGTTTTTCAATGCCAGGCACAGGATTCAACATCAAGCTGACCTTGGTGATGACAGGATGCTCTCTGTTGTCTTCCACATTGGGAGGGCTACTGACATCAGCATCAGCATCCTCATCCTCATCTTCTCTCACTGGATGAAATCTGACACTCATTTGTCTTTCCCTGTGGAGATAACAGTTATCTTCTAATACAAAGTTTATTTGCAAATGTATTTCCTTAAATAAAAAAAAAGCTCCCTTCAGTTATGACTAACAGCAAAGGTGACTGCACCAGGACCTTTTCTGGAATACAATTCCCATAATACACTTTACCAGGCCTTTAGTTTAGCCTTACATGTATACCTGACAGGCAGCCCCAGGGGAAAAATAACAACTTTCCCAGGTTACAGGTTCACTGCCAAATGTACTTAGTTAGGTGATCCCTCATTGCCTGAGTATGATGGCCTTCTAAGTGCAGGGTCTTGGCGGTGGATTCGTAGGTAACCCACATGTTTTTCCACAGTGAGGGTATCAATTTCCAGGTGGAAGGTGGTTCCGGTCAGGGTTGGCTTGACACGCCTTCCTCTTGGCACGTTTCTCCCTTTCGCCCTCCATTTGTGCCTCTTCAAATTCCGCAGCACTGCTCAAGAACCACGTTCTTGGTTCTTTCCCAGTTCTTGGTGTCTGTGCCACAGTTTTTAAGATTAGCTTTAAGCCCATCTTTAAATCTCTTTTTCTGTCCATCAACATTCTGTTTTCCATTCTTGAGTTGGGAGTAGAGTAACTGTTTTGGGAGATGGTGATCAGGCATTTGGACAATGTGGTCAGTTCAGCAGAGTTGATGGCGTAGGAGCATCACTTCAGTGCTGGTGGTCTTTGCTTCTTCCAGCATGCTCACATTTGTCCGCTTGTCTTCCCAAGTGATTTGCAAGATTTTCCGGATGCAACACTGATGGAATCATTCCAGGAGTTGAGTATGACGTCTGTAGACAGTCCACATTTTGCAGGCACATAACAGGGTTGGGAGGACAATAGCTTTATAAACAAGCACCTTGGTATCCCTATAGATGCCCTGATCCTCAAACACTACCAAATATAGCCTTGACTGGGAGACTCAGTCAAAGTTACCTTCTTGAAATCAATATTTCTGTATGACACTGCAGATTTCTGCAAATACTTGTTTTGCTATTTTTCTATTTTGTGTTTCTTAAAATGTATACATGCTTTCCCCCCCACATGTATCTATTTCCCAGGTTTCAGTGTGTGTTGTAGCTATACATTGGGCATCTCTTATCTGAAATCCACAATACTCCACATGAGTGGCTCATATAGTGACACATTTGCTTGCTGGTGGTTCAATGAACATAAGCTTTGTTTCATGCAAAAAATATTCAAAATATTGTATAACATTACCTTCAATCTACGTGCATAAGGCATGTATAACCAAATGAATGTTGTTTTTAGGTCACATCTCCAAGATAGCTCACTATGTAGGTATTTACAACTATGGATATTCTAGAATCTGAAAAAAATCTAACATCTAAAACACTTGTGGTCCTGAGCATATTGAATAAGGGATACTCAAACTATAGCTAACTATGTAATAGCTCAAGAAAAAGATGGAAAAGAACACTGATGCAAGTATAAATATCAATTGTTCCTAATTTTGAGGGCTTATATCAATGTATAATGTAAAGATTAGATATACTAGCGCTACTTTAAATGGTGGTTCATTGACTGGTGCCAGTCCACAAACTATCACCTATTAGACAGCTTAAAAAGCACTGATATAGACAGTAAGAGTGAACTTCTAAACTTCTAAATCTCATTATAGGCTGCATAAATTACAGCTTACTGTATATCCAAAGTTGTTGTGTGTGAACATTGATAAGGCCAGTCATTTTGGTGATAAATTAAAGGTCTATTTGTCCATCTGTATTTAAGACAACCCGGTCCAGTTACACAATTATTATTGTATGTTCTTGCATAAATACTGTTTTGGGAAACTACATTGAAATCCTTTTTTCAGCAGCGCTTGGGAAGTTATTGGCTGCATCAGCAATGTAGAATTAATGTAGTCGACAGACACCACTTAGCTGTCATAGATCAATGCTATGGAATCCTGGGATCTGTAGTTTGATAAAACACCAATGCTCTTTGGCAAAGAAGGCTAAAGCTGAAAACTACAACTTCTATAATTCCTTAGCATTAAGCCATAGTGATTAAAATAGTGTTAAATTGCATTAATTCCACAGTGTAGATGTATTCATAGTCTCTCAATGTTCTTCCCTGTGTGTAAAACAGGCATGGGCAAACTTCAGCCCTCCAGATGTTTTGAACTTCTGGAGGGCTACCAGTTGTTAGGAATTGTAGAAGATGAAGTTCAAAACACATGGAAGGCCGGAGTTTGCCTATGCCTGGTTTACAATGAGGAGGAATGTGGCTTTCGTGGAAACACAGCCAGTTAAAAACCATCCCTCTGCAAACCTACTCATCCTCACCACAAAAATAGTATAAAGTACCTAAAGAATCAGCACTTGTTCATGCTTCCTCCACTCAATACAAAAATAAATTATTGGTGTTTGCTCATGGTTTCCCCCACATTATCCCCTGCCCTCATCCCTGTAACTCACATGGCTATCTGTCTTCTACTGCTTCCTATTCTAGAGGTGGAGGCTTTGTGATGCTAGTCTCATCTCTCTGCCCAAGAGGCCAACTAAGGTCTTTGTTGAGGTCACCATAGTAACATTGCAGAGGTGGGGAGAGACAATAAACTCTCCTACAAGTCTGGGGAGCAGGGAGGCTAAAGGGAAGGAGACTCATGGCAAGGTTGTCTTTCTGTTGAGCCTTTTCCATGTCCATAGAAAAGATGAAAGCAAGACAGAAGAGGGAAGCATAACTATTGTATGGTCGCACTGTGTGCAACTTTCACCTTATAGAGCAATGTGTTACATTTATTGTATCTGTATCAAGCTACCAGATCAAAACATATGAGAAAACACATTCATTGAAAGGGAAAAAATGTACTGGGAAACTTTGATGTTGGGATTTATTCTGCCAGTATGGACTTGGTTTATCATTTATTTATTTTTTGTCATGTCAGGAGCGACTTGAGAAACTGCAAGTCGCTTCTGGTGTGAGAGAATTGGCCATCTGCAAGGACATTGCCCAGGGGGCACCTGGATGTTTTTGATGTTTTACCATCCTTGTGGGAGGCTTCTCTTGTGTCCCCGCATAAGGAGCTGGAGCTGATAGAGGGAGCTCATCTGCACTCTCCCCAGATTCAAACCTGTGACCTGTCGGTCTTCAGTCCTGCCAGCACAGGGCTTCAACCCACTGCACCACTGAGGGCTCCATAGGGTTTATCATAAAATGTAGTCAGGTTTAATGACAGCTTGCTTTCTCCATTTGGAGCCTTCACAAAGTGCTCATTGGCCAGTAACCAAAGCAAAAAAATCCAAAGTTTTTGCTGTATTAACAAAGCAGTTGAGAATTAATAATTCATTTAACAAAGTTTATGCCCAGTTCTAAAAGCAATCATAGTAAAATTAGATAGATAAATCTATTTTTGTGCAAAACTTAATGCTTTTCTTTCATCTTGCTTGACCAATCAACCATCCTCTTCTCACCTAGCTTCTTTTTTTGACTCCTCTATTCCATCACTCAACTCCTAACAGATATTTGTCTCCTTCAGCATTATCTTCCTGTCCATCACAGGCTAGATCTATATTGCCAAATAATGCAGATTTGGAATGCAGTTTAACTGCATTGAACTGGATTATATGAGTCCACACTGCCATATAATTCATTACAATGCAGATACATTGCATTCTGAAACTACATTATATAGCAGTTTAAGTCCAGCCTCAGACCAAGGTTTCTCTCTACTTTGGCACCCTCAATACTGCCGTCAAATATGTTTCCCTTATCCAACCACCATACATTCTTACATTGTACTTTTCCTTTCCCAACTAGCACACAACTCACTTTTTTCTAAACTAGAGGGCAACCACTGCTTAATTGAACTACCTTGACTTTCCTCTAATTCTATCCTTTATCACCTTCATTTTGCTTTTTGGGCAAACATTCTGGGTTTTAATATAAACGTGGGGCTTCTCAGGGCCCTTCCAGACAGGCCCTATATCCCATGATCTGCTTTAAATTGGATTATATGAGTCTGCACTGGCAGATAAACAGAAAACCTGGGATTAGATCCTGGGATATAGGGCCTGTCTGGAAGCGCCCTCACATTTCCAGAAATATTTTGGGGGGGGGGGGGATGAAAAATGCATGAACAGTCTCACAATTTCTCACAATATCTGCAGTTTTTCATTCCTGCATTCAAGAAGAAAACAAGTCAAAGTTTTACCTCCTTAGTGGCAGCAGTGATGGACAGCTTTGCATAATCCACAGCCCAGTTGTAACTCAGTCAATCTGCTGCCTCAGCAACATTGCATATTTTAGCACATTTCAGAACCAGCCCTGACAATATTCTTCCTCAGTCACACTCTGAATGGCTCAGCCTTTGTGCTTTCTCCTCTTGTTCTTGGGCTGCTGTTTGATTGTTTCAGACTTAACTAAACAGACTTGCAAAGAGCAAGAAAGAATTAAAGGTTAAACTGACAAATCCCATTACAATACAATACAAAAAAAATATTTTAAGGTCTGCCACATCACCTGTGGCTGAGACATGGGACCACCAGAGCTTTGAATCAATTCTCCACAACTAGAAGTTATTTGTAGTTAGTTAATTTCTTCCAATAAGTAAAATATAATGAAGTTCCATGATAATTATGTGCTGTAAGGAGAGATAATGGCTTTCTTTTTGCTATGTAAACCTCATTTTAATTCATGGTTACAGGAGTGAAGGCTCAATTAAATTATGGGACATCATAATAATAATAATAATAATAATAATAATAATAATAATAATAATAATAATAATCTTTATTTATACCCTGCCACCATCTCCCCAAAGGGGACTCGCAGCGGCTTACATGAGGCCAAGACCAACAATATATTGCAGCAACAGAAAATATAAACAATAAAATAACATTGCAATAAAAATAAACCACTCAAATAAAATAAATAGTACAATAACATAATGAAATCAAACACAGTGGGCGGGACAAATGTATGACATAAAATGATAAAACTCTGGATGAGATAGCAATGAAAAGTGCAATTTGTAGGGGAGGATGTAGTTTAATTGTTCACTTATGCTATCTCTTAATCTGCTGAATGCAGATGTTTATTTGGAACTAAAGTTAATTATTTAGTGAATAGAAAATAAAGAATTGTTTTTGTATCAGAAGTATAAAGAAAAATATATCTTCTGGACATTGGAGACATAACTTTGTCTGAACACAAAAAGTTACTTAATATCACCCACAAACAAACAATCCGTAGTTGACTCAGACATTGTTATTGTTATGTGTCTTTAAGGTTTTTTTCTGACCTATGGTGATCATAAGGCAAGTTTAGCACAGGTTTTTCTGGGACTTAGACTGCATTACATGACCAGGGGAACCCACTGGGTTTTCATGCCTGAGTGAATGTAACATCCATGAAGGATTCCTTGAATATGTAGAGCAGGGGTCCTCAAACTTTTTAAACAGAGGGCCAGGTCACAGTCCCTCAAACTGTTTGAGGGCTGGATTATAATTTGGAAAAAAAATGAATTAATTCCTATGCACACTACACATATTTTATTTGTGGTGCAAAACCACTTAAAAACAATACAATAATTAAAATGAAGAACAATTTTAACAAATATAAAATTAGTATTTCAATAGGAAGTGTGGGCCTGCTTTTGGCTGATGAGTAGGATTGCTGTTGTTGTTGTGTGCTTTCAAGTCATTTCAGATTTAGGATGACCCTGAACGAGGGCCGGGTAAAAGACCTTGGAGGGTCGCATCCGGCCCCCGGGCCTTAGTTTGAGGACCCTGATGTAGAGCCTCCACGTTGTGAGGATAGTTGCCTGTCTTCCTCCTCATTTCTAAAGGCATTCACTTTGTGATGTTTACCTGAAAACAGGCCTTTTCAATGGAGAGATACCCTATTCTAGAAGTAGGCGATTGTGCGGCCCACAATCCTGAATGGAAACTCACAGTATTCTTCATCATCAGACTGTAAGGGTTGGTGGGACTTACATTCCAGCAGTATCTAGAGGGGTTCCCCTTCCCACTCTGGCCTATTTCAAGCAGAAAATTGGATCAAATGTTTTGCTAGTGTGTATTTTATGTGGGGGTTTTCCTGGTATGTTTGGTTTCATGAAGGGAGAGAGGGAGAGAGAGCAAGAGATGGAGTCAGTACAGGCTGAAGAAAATTATGCTCCTACCTCTTTACTTTGTGCTTCCTTGCCACAGCTTGATGCTGCTACCATTTTAAAGTTGATCTTTCTTTTTTATTGTTCCATGTGAATGTGCATTAAATTATTTGTTATTTATGGAGTACATTTTCTTATTTAAAAACATATTTCAAAAAAATTGAGGGAGGGGGGCAGAACGCATCAATAGCATTTCAATGAGGAAGTTTGCTTTGAAATAAGAGCATTTTGAGTTAAGAGCCCAGTCACGAAACAAAATAAACTCTTAAGTCAAGGTGTAATTGTACATTTGCTCAGAACACAGTACAAAGAGTTAGTGCAGATACAGCGTTGGGTTACAATTTTCTGTATGGTACCTGAAGACTGCTATGTTGGATAAATGTTATTATATTCTATTTGTAGAGGTTGGGTTGGAAGATCTTTGCAATTTCCTTCCAGGGTAATGCATTAATTATCCCTTTAATTCATTATTTCCCTACTTTTTTTCTTTTTCCCTCCAATTTGAATGGACATGTATTGACACAAAGTTAACTTTTAATTTTAGTCGTGTTATCTGGATATCTCTTCCCTTTTAATCTTGGGATGAAAGAGTACAGCAAAGCATATTTGTAGAGATTTGTCACCTAATTTACATTTGGTTTAAATCGGACTTTATCCCCTTTTGTGTTCACAACAATGGGAGCTTAAATACTACTTGAATGACCACAGATTTCTGCATAATTTGATCTTGTTTAGCAGTGCCAGTAGTTCAGTGTAATCTGAATAGTGTATTTTAATGTGTTGGATCAATGACAATTATTTTTTACTTACTGGAGAAAAAACGTGGGTGCTGGAATTCTAGGCTGTCAAGAGTTACCATTACAAAAATGCTTAGCATGTTCCACATTGTTTGACTTAGGACAAGCAAATTTTTAAAGAAAAAAAATCCTGATATTTAATTTGGCTTCTTCTACATGTTAACTTTCTTTGGTTTTCATTCTTTTTGAACCCGGAGATCGTAGCAATCACAAATAAACAAAGCCTCCTGTCAAAAATAGTCCCTCAGGATCTCCCCATTAAAGGACTGGCATATGCATGCATGGAAAGTCTTGTAAATAAGAAGTATTGTTGGAAGCAGCCATCTAGTGTTTAGGACTATCAAGGCTCTCTGTTCTGGTACAGTTCCTACCAAAATTCTCCAACATTCTGCATTAATTTGGCCCAGAATGTGAATGGGTTTTCTATGCATGTCTATATCTACACTGTAGATTTAATGCAGTTTGATATAGCTTTAACTGCCATGGGTCAGTGCTGTGGAATAATGGGAGCTGTAGTTTCACAAAGCCTTTAGCCTTCTCTGCCAAATAATGCTGGTGTCTCCCTAAACAGATCCCAGGATTAAATATCATTGAGTTATGGCAGTTAAAGTGATGTCAGACTAAATTAATTCTACAGTCTACATACGTACACAGTCTATTTTATGTCTTTTACTAATTGTGATTCGATTCCACAACCTTCTCTAGAAACAGTAAAGTTGTGATAAGTATAAGGACTGTAGCCCATACCCCCCAACCATCTCAATTTGACAACGATGGTCCTGGCTACTCTCTTGTTGTCCCACTTTCTTGGTTGTTTTTTAAAATGTCTGCATTTCTATCTTCTCATTCTACTTTCCTCCTTTGTTCTCAGTTTATTTCAGTACTGCAGACTGAGTTCAAAATGTAATGCGTGGGGTTGCTTTTGAAGACTGTCTGGAAGCTTCAATTGGTCCAACGGAGCATACAACTCCTCTGCTGCACCAGCTCCACTGACTGCCAGTCTACTACTGGGCACAATTCAAAGTGCTGGCTTTAGCCTATAAAGCCCTAAACAGTTCTGGCCCAATGCACCTGTCTGAACACATCTTCCCTTATGAAACTGCTAGGACTTTAAGATCATCCGGGGAGGCCCTGCTCTCAATCCTGCCTGCATCACAAACACGTTTGATGGGGATGAGAGACCGGGCTTCTCAGTGGTGGCCCCTCGGCTATGGAACGCCCTTATTGGGAACATTAGATCACCCCCCCCCTTAACATTTTGGAAGAGAGTCAAGACTTGGTTGTTGGAGCAAGCGTTTGAAAATGCAAGGTAAAAGACACAGGAATTGGAACGACTGGACGAAAAGATGGGTTGTTGTTGTTGTTCATTCGTTCAGTCGTCTCCAACTCTTCGTGACCTCATGGACCAGCCCACGCCAGAGCTCCCTGTCGGCCGACACCACCCCCTGCTCCTTCAAGGTCAGTCCAGTCACTTCAAGGATGCCATCCATCCATCTTGCCCTTCCTTTTACCTACCCTCTTCCTTTTACCTTCCACTTTCCCCAGCACAATTGTCTTCTCTACGCTTTGCTGTCTCCTCATGATGTGGCCAAAGTACTTCAACTTTGTCTCTAGTATCCTTCCCTCCAATGAGCAGTCGGGCTTTATTTCCTGGAGGATGGACTGGTTGGATCTTCTCGCAGTCCAAGGCACTCTCAGAACTTTCCTCCAACACCACAGTTCAAAAGCATCTATCTTCCTTCGCTCAGCCTTCCCTAAAGTCCAGCTCTCACATCCGTAGGTTACTACAGGGAATACCATGGCTTTGACTAGGCGGATCTTTGTTGCCAGTGTGATGTCTCTACTCTTTACTATTTTATCGAGATTGGACATTGCTCTCCTCCCAAGAAGTAAGCGTCTTCTGATTTCCTGGCCACAGTCTGCATCTGCAGTAATCTTTACACCTAGAAACACAAAGTCTGTCACGGCCTCCACATTTTCTCCCTCTATTTTCCAGGACGAGATGGGACAATGTTTTTATTAGGAGATGCAAATTATGTATGCTTTTAGTATTCTTGTTATGGTTTTAAAACATTTAATGTTTTTAAATGTTTTATTGTGTTTTTGGACATCGAATTGTTGCCATCGTAAACCGCCCTGAGTCACCTAAGGGCTGAGAAGGGCAGTATGCAAATATAGTAAATAAATAAATAAATGGCATATGTAGTCAGCTAACTGACTACAAGCAAAGGAAAAGAGGAAGTAATTTTTTGCCCTTTTTAACAGGCACATTGTTCTTTGTATTGTCAAAGGCTTTCATGGCCGGAATCACTGCGTTGTTGTAGGTT